GAATATTTTAGAGGGCATTGTAAAATACAGTAGTCGGGTTTATACTTTGTACTTGCTCTTCTTTTTTGGTTTTTCTGCTGTTATTTTAATGATGAGCGGGCTTATCACTGTGGGCAGGCTTCTTAAATGATTTGGTTTTTCACTGTATCACTGTATAGTACTTCTGATTATCACTACTTGTGTTTAAAAATTGGTTGTTTAGGTGTTAGCACGTTATTAAATGGTATAATGGTATATTAAATGGTATATACGAGCGCATTTGGAGTGCCCATCCATACGTTTATTTCCAGTTTTTTCCTGTGACGCATAACTTCAAATTTAAAATTTTACTGAATTTTGGAGCGATTTTTTTGCAGGTTTAAATTTATATTCCTTATTTTTGTAAAAATATCGACGGTGTATAAGTTTTTCGTGTTTCAAATATTTCTCATCTTTTTGTTTATTTTCTCCAGAAACTTCACTGTCATTGTTTTGATTCATTTTCATCTAAATTATTATTTCTATCATATTCATAGTTTTTGATAATACTTTATTTAATAAATTGAATTTTAGAATTTTAAATGGGTGGTTGCTTATGTAAACGAAAAGTTCGACAAAGAAGCCAATCACTGAATAGTGAAACGATATTAAATCATAATACGCATGATTTGTTAAGAAATGCTCGGCGGCCAAATCGACGTCGTTTTCTTAGTGATTTTTTACATGAAGGTTGGGATTTTTTTTCATAAAAATATTTCATTCACTTATGAAATTAAAAGGGACAGTATAGTCAAATGGCATAAGACATTATAGGTTTAATTTCTATCCCACAAGCTGTTTTTAAGAGTCAAACCAGTGTGGTGCTGGATACTTGGATACTCTGTACATTCAAGTCTTTTTATTAATAAGGAATACAAGTTAATTTCCAAAGAATAAATGAAGTTGACTGATCGGTTATTTCAGCTTGACCTATCTGTTCTTCTTTAATAATGTATCATTTGGACTGCAAAATTCACTTGGATCATCACGGATTTTGACATTTTGCTTTTTGATTATTTTGAATTTAATTATTTAATTTAATTGAATTATTTTGATTATTTACTTCGAATTTTATCAAATTTATCTTTTTTTTTTGAATAGCGAATTTAGGCAATGATCGAATGGTTGTCAGTGTAACGAATGATATAAAAGAATTAATAACGCAAACTCTTGTTCTCATCCGATTTATAGTAAGCAAGTAAGCCTTTTATTTTAAACTATAAATTTTCAGTTTGATTCAGTTCAATTCTCTGCTAAAAGTTTTTCGCCGTACTAAGATCAGTGGAGCGGATCTAATTTATTAGAAATCGTGAAAGTTGTTTTTTTTTATTCATAAATTCTAGGGTTTATTTGAACAATTAAAGCAATTAATATGGATATCTTCTAAGGGTTTAAGATTTTTAGATAGTTTTTTCACTCAAAAAGTTTACATATAGAATAGGTAAAAAAGAAATTTTTAAATTTTTAAATTATTGAAAAAATTTTAAAAAATTTTCATCTTGTTGGGTCTGAAGTTTTTATGTCAAAAATTTTACTACATTTGTATTTTGTTATTCCGAACCGAAAATTTGTTTCTTTACTAAATCTTTGGTTACTGCGAATGTGATTGGTATTCACTTGATGTATGAAAATTCCTGAGACGGATCTAATTAATCTTTTTATACATTTTTTTTCAAATAATTCCTCTTTTTTGCATATGCAAAGATTTTCTGTAAAATTGCAGTAAATTAACCTATTTTTTTTGATCTCTACCTTCTTGAATTTAAATATTTTTGAGTAATTTTAATTTTTCAATTTATATAGATTGTCCTAAAGTATTATATAAAAGTACCAATTTTTCAGTGATCAGGAACCACCTACTCCGTTGTTAAAATTAAATCTGATTGCTGATAAAGAAGGAGGATGGGTTTTAGTTGTTATATGTATGATTGAAACGGTACCTATTGATGATCCATTGGGTCCCGCTGTTATAACTCTTTTTCTCGATGAATGTCCACTTCCATCTAAAGTTTTTATTTGCCTTGTCGATTTTCTATCCATTTTCTATTAAATGAATAAATCTCAGTGATGAAATTATAAAATTATTGTTAATTTTTATTAATTTCATTTCTGATTCTTTTAAATCATTAATTTGAAAATATATAAAATTGAAGAAAATTGGTTGTTTTTGTTTTACAGGATAGTATTTCTCGATTAGTCAATAATCATATGCGTCTTGATTGTAAGAAATCTGCACCACCTTCTTGGCATCGTAACGCTTGTATAGTTTTGGGTTGTCTGGCTGAAAATCTGACAGGACCGGGCAGTGCTCATATTTGCACGAATGCGACTCTTAATTATATCATTGAAAATCTTGTATATACTTTCATTATGTTTTCTAAATAAATATTTACAAATCGAACTTGTAAAATTAATTCAATATTCCTTTTAATTTCAGAATCCAAAACAAGATGCGCGAGTTATTTTATTTGCTTTGATAGCGCTGGAAAAATTAGCGCAAACAAGCGAAAATCGTTTGGCAATTTGTCGACTTTTAGGGCAACGTTCTATTCATCCATTTTTGGTTGGTTTGGTTAAATGAATAAAAAAAATTCGTGAAAAATTGGTTGTCTAAAATAATTCATGAATCCCTGTTATTTGTTGCTATACTTCCGACATCGGAGAAGACATCTAATTTAACTCTCCGACATTTAACCATTCCAGTTAGATTAACTTTATAATGGTCAGTTGCCGCTGGAATAGCTCTCCACACTAGATAGCCATTCCTTTCGTAACATTGAAGTTGATAATCTTTATGGACCAGGCTTTATTACTATTCAAGCTAAGATCGGCATAAAACTGACAGCTAGAAACATGTCCCAAGATCTTCCAACTATTTCAAACTAAGGGATTCGGAGGCAGTAAGACCATTTCAGATAGGATTATTGCCTCAATGTATATTATGTCAATATATAAATATCTCTGGAACATAAATACTGGTCCCAAATGAAGACATCCGAAAATCAATCGCTTCTACGATAGGTTAATGCCAACAGGAAATACTATTTATAATAATAATAAATACTAAATAATACTAATATATAGTGAACTGTCCAGTTGTCCAAAATATTAATATCAAGAGATCCTGACTATCGCGTGCTTCGCGGGAGAGAAATCGTTATTGGAGCGATATGGTCTTAAAAATGGAGATGGCGGCACGATTAAGCGATAAAAGGAAGTGGAAGCTTTCCATTTCGCTTTCTTCATAATAGTAACTATGACTCGAGAACGGGTCAGTGAAATGATACTGGATAGTAATGGTTTGCTTGTTAAGACTATTAAGGATCGCCTCGTAAGATGGAAGAAATGCTTTGAGGGTGAATTTAACGCCTCAGATATAGCCCTCGAATTGATCGGCGAACCTGCAGAACTGGAAATAATCTCTGTCATCCAGAAGCTTACGGCCAATAAATAAAGCCCCCGAAGAAGATGATCTTCGAGCCAAATTCTTCAAATGTTTATCGTTCTTCATATTACATCTTTAATAAATGTACTTTCTGGTGTGGGTGAAAGAAATAGTACCAGATGATTGGAGCAAAGCAATCCTTCTTGTAGTTTTCAAAAAAGAAGACGAGACATATGCAACAATTATCGAGGAATCAGTCTATTAGACATTTGGAAAATTTTCATCACTCTTCTACTTAATATACTTATGGTAGTACGAGACAACAAGATACGCCCTAATCAAGGATTCAGACTTACGCGCGGCTAACCAATTCATGTAAAGCAATCACATTTGTTGAAACATCACTTCAAATATTGGCAACCGTCGTCGATTTTGCGGCTACTTTTGATTCGATTAATAGAGAAGAACTTTGTAGAGTAATTGAATATATTGTTCTAGAGAAGATCATTCAACTCATAAAGGCATTTTACCAGCGTATATTTGCACAGCGCTATGTACATAACTGATAGACTCTTTCGAAATAAGAACTGGTGGCAATCGTCAAGGGTGTGTTTTTCTCTTACCGTGCGATAGCTTGGGTATTGAACATCGGTTGTTGGCACTCATTGGGTGTACAAATTAGTGCAGAGCATAATATCATAGAAATGCGCTGATGATTTTAGCCCTTTTAGCTTGTAGTTATGACAAAGTTAATGCTGAACATGTCGACAACTGCACAAAAATTGGACTCAGTGTAAATAAAATGAAAGTCTTTCGTTTTAAATAGTAGAAGCTGGTAAAATACCTATTTTCATTAATTTTTCTCCGGTTGACGAATTGCCTGACCTTAAATATCTTGGGTCCAATCTAATTCCAAGCGAAAAACGAAATCACAACTCGTATAATTGCAGCTAGAAATGTACTTTCATATACGAAACGAAAATGCGCGTCTAATAGCCTCAATTTGCTTGATCTTATATGGAAGATATTGTCAATACTATATTATATGGATGAAAGATATTGCCAATGAGAATGGAGAGAGTTATCTTCTTTTGATCAATCATGTCTAAGATATATTTTACGGCGTGCGTGGAGCAGATAAAATCTCACATTATCGCATCTAATACATCTCTCCAATACCTTCTGTATTAATAATACCATTACAGAATATCTCTAGTTAGGGCTCGCTTTTCATCGTCTAACGCAGATTGACACATACACACATTTCATTGCTGAATCCTGCTAGATGGCATCAAAAGAGAGAGGGCCAATCAAGACCCGGATTACGAAAGATTTTGAACGTATAGGGACCAGCGAAAAATATAAGGATTTAGACGATGAAAAAAGAAATGGCTTATATTACCGTTAGTGGTGCCATCGGATCGAATAGCTTGAAAACCTCTTACCTTTTTAGCCAGTGGAGTCAGCTTAACCAGTAATGGTGAGAGTTGTTAGAAGAAGAAGATTATTTGTTATTAATTTGTAGATCCATCTCTTTTTTCACCTTTCATCTTTTCAATTTATGCATTAACATTGGAAAGTTTAGATGCTTTAGGAAATGGTTAATCTGTTACAGATTATACTTTGTCAGGTAACAAATTTTATTGAAGGAACTCGAATTATGGTTAAATGAACCGAGATTTGAAGTCAACTGGCTGAGGCAGCAGATTGGTTTTTGTGCTCAGTGGTTGTTGGATAATACATGTAAGAAAAATCAAAGTTATTATAGCATGATTTTACACTTTTTTTGTGAATATTTAGATTTTCTAATTCTGTCGTTTCTTTTCTTCTTACATGTATTATCTTAATCTTCTTTTAATGTATAATCTTCTTCTTTTCATTTTTTTATCACTTTATTTTTCATTTCATTTACAAGTGGAATCACTATTTTGAAAAATTACAGTTCCTTGTCATGATCGAGAGCCCTCATATTTGAGTACTGATACATCAGGAATAAACGCAATGTTGAACCATGAGGACGTCAGTGAATATTTAAAAATCGGAACAAATGGACTGGAGGTTCGATTATCTATTGTTGTATATTATTATATATGATTTTTGGAAAAAAAGGATTCCTAAAAATTCTTCCATCTTCAATTACAATATTTAAGGTTTTTTTTCGCTTATTTTATAGGCTCGTTGCGATGCATCATCTTTTGAATCTGTTCGATGTACTTTTGAAGCAGTTGATGGTGTCTGGTTTTATGAAGCCCTCATATTAACCGCAGGTGTTATGCAAATTGGTTTTGCCACTAAACAGAGCCGATTTTGCAACCATGTCAATTTCAATTTTCATTTTGTCTTAAATTCTTTCTTTTTTTTAATCATGGAGAGAGATGAGGATTCCATCTTTTCAGATTAATAGTCTGTTAAAGTTTTACGCTGTAGTGTTTCCATTATTTTAAATATTTCTATATTAGTTTTTGGTTATTCTTTTATAACCATTAATTTATTATCATATGAAATTTTTTTCATTTTATGTCTGAGTTATTCACTTGTTATATCAAGTTGTGCTTTAGGGTTTCACTACTCTAATAATTAGAACAATAAACTAATAAATTTGATCAAATTGTTTTAGGAAGGTTACGGAATTGGTGATGATGAATATTCTTTGGCCTATGATGGATGCAGACAGTTGTTGTGGCACAACGCTCAATTTGAAAAGCATGAGCATAAACCGTGGAATGCAGGTCCAGCGAGATTTCAATTTTATACTATAAATGTAAATTGTAAAGCGATATAGATTTAAAGTATATTAATTTAAAGTATATTAATTTATTATTGTAGAATTTATTATTATTGTATTATTATAGTTAGGTTTTTTCCATTTAACACTTATAAAAAATATAATAAAATTATAAAATTGAGGTGATTACCTTGGATGTTTACTTGATATTCCTGGTTGTTTTGTGCAGTTTTATTTGAACGGTCAGCCACTTCAAAACCCTCATCGCAAATTTATGGAACGAAGGATGACTAATTTTGATAGTGGGATTTTTGCTGCAGCGTCTTTTATGAGCTTTCAGCAATGTCGATTTAATTTTGGTCATCATCCGTTCAGGTTTTTAAAATTTTTTCTTTATTATTTTCAACTTTATTCTTTATGTATTTTTTTTATTTTCAGTTCTTTATTTTTTTTGTTCAATTTACGCAATTCAATATTAGGTATCCACCGCTTAATATCGAATTTAAGACTTTTAATGAATATGGAGTTTTAACAGAAGAGCAGAAAACCATTCTTCCAAGGTAGGCAATTAAAATGTAATTGGAGAAATTAAAATTTATTTTAAAGTTTATTTAAAAATTTATTTAAAAGTTTTGATAATGCGTGAATGCGTGAGTTAGAAATATTTTTTGAAGCATGAAAAATTTTTCAGACGCGCTAAAATGGAGCTTATTTCAAATATGATCATATCAGATGAAAACTGCCATATATGCTACACGGATTCAATGGATACTGTACTTGAACCATGTGGACATGGGTTTTTTTTTCATTTATAGCGAATTTCTGGATTCAAATGGCTTATTTCAACTAAGAGTAATAATGAAGAATAGAGCATCAAGTGCATTTACAAAGATTGGTTTTTTTTCGCATCATATTTTTTTAGTGCTATTTGCTTTCACTGTTCGAACCAGATTCGGCAATGCCCTCTTTGTCGGGTAGATATTTCGGGACGTGTCAGAATAGCGAAGAAACAATCAGTGATATCTCTGGAACGCTCTTTTACTTATTTGATGGGTATGAATAGTAATGAACCCATTAGTACAATGGTCTGACTGACTGTAAGTTAAATTATAATGTTAATCGTCTTACTAAAAAAATTCTTATTTTCTTTTGCATCCATTAATTTTCTTCATTCTATTTCCATACTTTTAGTAGTTTATCATTAAATCACTTTCCAATTGCAGCTATAGTAATTTTTCTTAAATTTTAGTTACTTTATAACTGTTTATGCAAATATAATTATAATTATATTAAATACAACTGGTCCTATTTTTCTCTTCCTTTAACCATTTAGCCATTTTGGTTTTGCTTGCTCCACTGACTAATAAGTTGATTGCAAAATATACCAAAATATCACTATGGGGTAGAAATACAGGGTCAATACTACCACCAATGTGATCTGTATTTTACGAATTTGCTTCTTTCATGGAACAATGGCAAAACCCATGATGTTTTTTCATGTTTGTTCCTAGTAACACTTCCTATTATTTCTTTTTTTTTGAAAATTCTTCATATGTTTTTCGATAAATCGAGCCACCTTGAAAAAACAAGTTATAATGGTTATTTAATTTCTAGGAACATACGATTGATGAAACAAATTTTTTGGCTGCCATTTCTCATTATCGAATAGTCATTTCGAGTTATTTTTTTCTTTTAACGTTATTTTTTTTCACCATATTTATTCATTATCAATTGTGATTTTTATTTTCCGTTTGTCATCCTTTTGGAAATTAAATGGAAATTGATAAAATCAAGTAAAATAAAATTATTAAAAATATAAGAAATGAACGGTGAATTGCTATTTTATTCTTAAGAATTCATTTTCATATATTTTTTTATAATTTATTTTTGTTCTTTTTGTATGCATTTATACATTATATACATTTGCCTTATTAAATTAACTGTAACGGGTGTTGATTGTACGAGAATATCTTTTTTATTTGTGGTTTCGATGTCTTTAATATTGCTATTGGTTATTTAATTAAAATGTTCTTATTTATTTGTTTGCAGTTTCTATTTTATTTAATTTATTTCAGTAATTTTTATGTTTATTTTATGTTTTATTTGATATTTTATTGAATATTTTTGTTATTTTCAGTGATTTGTCGATATTTTTTATAATATTTTGAACCAAGTATGTCGAAAATTTGAATTCGTTTGTCACATTTCTTATTAAAGTTTGTGATTTGTCCTTTAGACATTTATTTCCTTTTTTGTCATTCTTTTACGAAAATAGTAGAAATGATTTATACATTTTTTGTAAAATAAAATTTGTATGAAATAAGGAATGAAACAAAGAAAAAAATAAACAAGGAATGAAACAAAGAAAAAAATAAAAAAATATACATTGATTTTAATATTTTAATATTTTAATATCAAATAAAAATAACAATAAATTTTTGCTAAAAGATAATCGATTAAGTTAAAAATAATATATAAATATATATTGTTTCACTTTTTGTTTCTGCTGGTTACATTTTAAATTTATGTTAGTAATTTTAGCGAAATATGGAGAAATTACTATAGCAATTTTTATTACGCAGATATTTTCATGGGAGATAACTGGACCTGAGGAAGCAGCAAGAAATTGTAACGAGATATGAAATTTATTAAGGGATACAAAGGACTGCATCTAACATAGATTCGTATTTTGTGGATAGATAGCACAACGAAAGAAAAAAGCATATTAAAGAAGTATTTCAGATAAAAAGTAAAGTTTGCTAAATATTAGGAGAGATGCAATAAGCCTTGAATGAATTGTTGAAAAACGAAGGGATTTAGGTTTATCTTTCCATGATACTATAATATAGGTTTCAAGAGAATTGAGGAAATAAACGTAAGAGTTTGAGAATGTGTATCAATGAAGTTTCAGCGAGAAGATCATGATCTGAATGCATCAGTTAAGGACAGGGCTTGAATTGGAAAAAAGTATACTGGGATTCCGATATGGAAACATAGTGGAGTTTTAGGAGAGGAGAAGGAGATTTGTAATGAGACAAGCATAGAGAATGAAGGCTGCGGTCGGTGGGCTGTAAACGTTATGCTATGTTATGATTATAAGTTATGATAATAATGGTACCAAATGAAACAACTCGAGTAACTAAATAACTAAAGGAAAATGTTTTGATGGAGTTTCGCTTATTTTTTTTCGCTAGAATCTTTAATACTCATAATAATAAATTTCAAGGGTCATTTAAAATTTTATTTCTTGTTCTCCGATATTTCTTAAAAAATCTTCAAAGAAAACACTCAGAATCAAGAATCTTAAAAGACATCGTTCTCCATCTATACAATTTAAGAAATTTTCATGAAATTTTCATTAGAAATATAAATCATTGGAACTGTTCTTTAATTCGAAATCTATATGACTCGTTTTCAAACTGCATTCATTCGTCAAAAAAATTTTCTGTTCGAAATTTCCTGTTCAAGAATACTTTTGCATGAGGCGAAACCATCTAAAATATTTTCATTTCCACTGCAAACATTATTCATTTGCTTTTCCAGTCACCGTTCCAAAGAATTTGCTTGCTAAAACGTAAATAGCAATAAATTTCAAAAATCTGCAAAAGTTGCGAAGAACGAGATTCGGTAATGGTGGTAGATTTCAAGGAAACAGCAGTTTTCATTTGCACTCTCTTATTGTATCGCATATTTTGGTATACAGTAGCACTGGGTAAATATATTTATTCGATATAAGCTTATGAAATAATCTCTATTTTCGTAGTTTTATCATTTTCATAAATTCTTGGTTCTAATTCTTAGTATTTCAAAATTTCGAATCTCAGTGGAACCGAAGATTTATTTGGTTCAGTTGTGTTCTTTTATATGCTTGTTCTTTGATTTTTTTCGACTGCGGTGAATGATATAAATATATGTAGGACAGATATAAACGAAACGAATTGTGCAAAGTTAAATTAGCATCAATATCAACATTTCATCAGTAGATATAGTAAAATCTAAAGTTTAAAATAAAATAAAGTGAAATTTTCATTTTCGAATTTTTCGAATTTGCTGCATAAAATGATATGAAATTTTCTATGGAATGTTGGGTTAAAAACAAGAATTTTGACGATGGGCGACCCTTTTCACAATTGATCTTCATCGTCATTTTTTAATTTTCTTAAATTCTCGATTTTCTTGCATATATTCTAAACCTTTGGGCTGGCTTTATCAGTTTTTAAAATGACATCTCATAGTCATAGGCAATGGAAGTACGGTGATCGTTATCACTACCTCTTTATTTAATGACTTTTTTATTTCTGTCGAAAAACAGGAGTAGGAGTATGATGGAGTAATTTTAATCAGAACAGCACGTCACACGTCATCTTGTTTTTCTATTCGCATTCGAATTTTCGAAATTATTTAAAATATTAATGTAACAAACAGGCCGTTAGGATTTTATTTTTTTAATTTTTTTATTTCTCAGATTTCATACCATTTCATACCACAAGCGTACATTCATTTTTTCTTTATTTATGCCTCAAATTGATTCAATTTGATATATCTTTGCTATATTTTAATAAATCGCCATATGTTATCATAGGGTATGTTATTGGTTTAAAAAATTTCGAATTTTAGGATAGGATAGTTTTTTGAGGTATTCCATGATGAGAGGGTAGGTTAAAACTTCACACTCTTGTAAATAAATCTTGATAAAACCTTTAAAATGTTATTATCCAAGCAATTTTAATGGTATAGAACGGTATTTTTCAGCAAGATATCAATCAATGTTCTCTTCTAACATTTGGTTTGACTGACTATCATGATAATATCCTTTCGCCAGTCTTCCAATCATCTGTGGACAGAAAGAGCGTTGAATCTCTTATGCTTTCAGAATTATCAGAAATATCAAAATTTTAAAAGACAGAATTAGAACCTATCTAAGTGTATCGGTCCAGGTCTTGATTGGTCCACATTCCTTTTGACGCCATTCATCAAAGGTTCAGCAAGTTACGAAATATGCGTCAACTCCAGTGAGAGACGACGGAGAATGTGCCCTAACCAGCGAAGGCGACGTTCTGTGATAACATTATTAATGCAGGTGGTATTTGCGAAGGTGGTTGCGATCTTGTAAGATTTTATCCACTCGGCGAACCCGTAAAATATACCTTAGACAAGAGTGGTCAAAGGCATAACTTCTTTAATAACTTGCAGATAACTTCTTTTTGCTGTCGTGATCCGATTTGTAATATAATCTTTTGCCTAGCCATTTGATATTAGAGTGGACCCAAGGTATTTAAAATCGAGCACTTCCTCAAATGGCAATGAATTTATAAAAAGAAGCATTTTATCAGCTTCTTGCACATAAGATGAAAAGACTTTCGTTTTGTTTACATTGACCCTGAGTCCGTTTCTTCCTACAGTTTTTGACATTTTATTTATCATTAATTTCATAACTGTCAGCAAAAAGGATTCCATCATTAGTATTCAAGATCTGTACGATGCTCTGGACTGACTGAGTGTCGAAAAGCGGTCCATTATCTAGTCTATAATAATTGAATATTATAGGCACCTTTGAAAGAAACCAGTTCTTTCCGAGGAGTTTGCCAGTTTTCCATGTGCACAAACTGCGATGTGCGCTGAAAAAACACCTTTATGAGTCAAATAATATTATCTGGAACATCGTCGCGTTCCATCACCTTCCAATGCGCGGCTCTACCAATTGAATCAAAGGCAAAATCGATGAAACGCATGATGATTGGTTCCAAGTTATGTTTCAACACCTTCTTAACATGAACATCAAGGTCAGACCGCACCCCGGTCTGAAGCTTGATTAGGGCGCATCCTGTTTCCATAAGTCTGTTGAATAAAAATGGAAGGAAAAAATTTGAAACATCTAGTAGGCTGATTCCTCGATAATTGTTGCAGTATGTCCTATCACCTTTCTTGAGAATTGCTCCAATCATTTGGTAATCATTTCTTTTCTCCATACTAAAGAGTACATTTGTTAAAGGTGCGTTGTGGAGGACGATGGACAAAATTTGAAGAGTTCAGCCTGAAGACCATCTTCTCTCGGAGTTTTATTGGCCTTAAACTTATGAATAAAGGAGATTATTTTCAAGGAGGTAAGGAGATTATTTATAAAGAGATCTTCTATTGGAGGTTCGTAATTGCAAGAGTACGGTTCGGCGAACGTATCAGCTATATCAAAGCAACAGAAGGCGCTTCATGGTCAAACTTAGCCTCAAAAAATCTTACGAGGCGGTCCTTAACACTCTTGATTAGCACGCCAACTATTGCTGCTCCTTACCATTTCACTGATCGTTCCCCGAATTATAGCTGCTTTATGAAAAAAGAGGAGCAGTTTCCTATTATCATTTATTTCATCCAATAACGTTAGAAAAATCCAACCGCCTAATCGAGCCGCCATATTGCATATTTAATCTATAATCACAAATCTTTTTTGTGCTTTGAAGCCTCGTCTCATGTGTTCATCTGGCTGTTTTAATAGACGTTCTACGAATAAATTGTCTTTTGCGATTTGGTCTTAGTGGTAGAAAATTTGCATAAAAATCACTGCTTCATAATAGTCTAATAATTGTAAATTATATTTGAAATATACTTGAACGTCCACTTTTGTAAAAAGTGAATTTTTAAACAAATAAAAAAATTGACAAAAATACTATGTAATCAATAGATAGCCGATGATTCTGTTGAAGATTTTCTTTTTCTGCAATCATGTGATCTATTTATTTTCATTTCGGAGCAAAATTGTCCTTGAACATCTCAGACAGACTGAGGTGTAATTTTCTCGCTACTTTTGGATGTCTATAAGAGTCATTTAATTTTTTAAAATTTTGAGCGAAGCTTTTATTTTCCTTTCAGCCATTTCAACTACTTCCAAAAATTTTAAATTAGTTTATGTTAAACGTTCCAGGGTTTAATTAGCATTTAAAACTTTTTTCACGTCATTCTATTCTTATAAAATATTTATAGGAAAGGTTCGGCAATAAAAATAGAAATTTGATAAGCACTCATTGTTTTTCGTTTCGAAATATTTTTGATGGAAATATTTAAAATATAAAATCTGATTTAATTTAGAACGTAAATATTTTGAAAGAAATATTTTAGAAAAAATTATAAATGCCTCGAAAAATTAAAGAAATTCCTTTATCAATTTAATTATTTTTAAGTTACTTTCATTTTATAATTATATAATATTTAAGATTGTGAAATTCAATTTATTGTTTCTAATTCTCTTATAAGTTTTAATATACCAAATCAGAACCACAAATCAGGAGTTCTCGCAATGCTAATGGTGCCTTAACGCGAATGGTCATCGATGTACCTCTCAGGAAATTCTTCTTGGATATTTCGGTGAATCAGATGACATAGAGGAATTGGACTTTGGAAGTCATTGCTCAAGATAATTACTAATCATGTCCCAGAATTCTTGTTGCTAAAACAGGACTTTCGATCTTTTCGATCTTTTCAGGTCGTTTTTTCCGTAACCTCATCAAAGTGAAATATTTTCCCCTTATTTCAACAAATATTAATCTTTATTGCTTTACTTGAAATCCGTCGAAATAGAAATTCTGTGTTCTGATACTGTAAATTCAAGTTGCAGCTATTAAAACGAAAACTTCAGCTGCTCATTATTCCGCAAAGAATGCGAGCAAAACTCTTACGATTGTTATTACGATGAATACCACTGTAATAGGTCAGAATTTGTCAGCGTTAATGCAATATTTGACTAATCAGAATTATTGTTTTTCCTATCACAGGGCCAGCTATCTTTCTGGAACTTCTTAATGTTTTATATAGTTTTTAGCTTGGTGAACTGTAATTCTATTTCTTCTATTTTTTCTGTGTAAATAACCTTAAATCATTTTTTCGTTTGGCCGTATTTATTGTTTGATTAGAATAGTTTTATTTTATCCTTGTCCATTAAATCAAAGGAAGTTTTAGTTCAAACCTAATAACATCTTTCGACGAAGATGATTCATAATAATTTCTACTTGCTTATCACGAAATTTTCACTTGTTAAGACAAAAATTTTTAATTTAAGATGACATTATCATTTATTTTTTAAATTTCTAACCAATTTACATTGCACATATTTTTATATTAATACCGGTAATCTTTTAATTATAATTTCCACTTTTTTAATTCCATTTTATTAAATTCATTTGCAAACAAATTTCGTTTTACGAAAAAAATTTTTCTTTCACCTATAGTAAGTAAGTGAGTAGTTGGAATAGAATGGCTCAGTGGGTTGCTGCAGATGCTGAAGTTCTATTCCTCGCAAGAGTAAAGATGTCCCAAAATCCGGGTGATGCTGGCGACTCGCCTATACTTCTATTGCCAAGGAACTCCCTGGTATATTTGTCTAGTGCGACTGGAACAAGTCTGACAAGTTTAACTCTTAAAAAAAAAGTTGGGTAATCAACATTAACCATTTCTGATTAGGCTCGCTTCATTAGCTAATGGAAGTTTTTGTCAAGGAATCATTTGGCGATAGAAATGCAAATAAGTCGGTGGCATAAACTTGACTTTTTAATAACATTTATTTCTTACTAAACGCAGAATTTGAACTCTAAGGTTCGACACAGTAATCTGAATCATAATCATTTTACCCATAGCGAAAACTTAAGGTTTATTTGGAATTAATTTTAAATATTTTGTTTTTGCTTTAAGAACTAATACTAATAAAAATGTCTCAAGGCGTTCTTTGTATTTTTTTTTCCTTTTCTTTTAAACAGCTCTCACCATTTCTGAGTTGGTTCACTCCATTGTCTATTAGGATGAGTCCTTTTTGCGAAAGAATTATTTAGTGATAGAAGTATCGCTAAATTTTCAGTACTTTCCGCCTGTCATTTTTAAGAATTTATTTGAATAATTTATTACCGTAAATGTTCTGAAATATTGCTGGTAAATATTGCTGATAATTTCTTTAAAATAGATTAAATCATTACTGAGTCGACAGGTAATCAGAAGTGGTTAGAACTGACCATTTCTCATTAGGCTTGCTGACTATTAGGATAATTTTGCCAGAAAGTCATTCATGGGAAATTGGGCCTCATCTTTTACAAACCATATTTTGGAAAATGCTTTGGAAACTTAAAAAACAAATGAATACCGTATCATAATCGATCTTTGACTATTTTGTTAGATTATTTTTTGATTTTTTTTTGGTTCACCATTTCTGGTTAGGTTCACTCCACTGACTTGTCAGGTTAGGCAATTATTTCAGGGAGTTCAGAACCCACTGGGCCATTATGCTCTCCTTGGCCTTATCTGTTTTGCGACACTGTTGTTTCAGAAAGCTTGTTGTGTTAACTGGAACCTGAATTTCGGTTCTCCGTGGTGATTAGCACTGCGTCACCGATATACCATTTTGTTGGAATATTTATTTTTGATGGAATTTTATGTTTTTATCCTTAGATAACTTGTAATATCTTTATTATTCTTATTTAATATGGCAGAATAGTGATTCTAATCTTTTTTATTCGTCAGAAACTGAAAAGCCATAAATTATAATATTTATTTATGCCAAGATGTCGGTGTTATGGAACTACTTTTTTCCACGATTTAGTTGATTAAAGGAATAAAATTATAGGAAAATTTGTTCTGATAGATAATTTTTCAGCAATATATCTAAAAATTTTAATATGTAGCATGAAATTTGGTGAGGAATATTTTGTGCAAAATATAATTTGCAAAATTTTTCTCTATTTTAATTTTTCCAATTGTTCGTTCTACAGTTAGTATAGTTTCGAAGGAAATCTTGCAAACTATCCATTTTTGCTATTTTCAACAACAGAATAAACAATTTTGCGAAAAAAAATTGGCGAAAAATTTATTAATTTGTCTATCGAGAATGTCAATCGAGAATGAAAGTATTTTTCAGGATAAATTCATTCATTATGATTCATGTTTTCAATAGTCCTGTCGAATGTTCCACAATGTCAGAATTTCAGAAAAGTAAAGACAGCAATGATTTATTCGATGGCAATAATTTGGTGCGAAAAAAATTTCGTTTGTCCCGCTGGCAACTTAAATTCGTATTCATATAAATAACTCGATTTATTTCTAAAAGCTGAATTTTCCTTAATAAAAAAATTTAAAAAATTATGCCTTTTCAGAACAAACGAAAAATCACTTATTATAAAGATGGGAGAAAAATGGTGGATGGGAAGATTGAAGTGGAGCAAAATCCAACTGATCTCTGGACATCGGCATTGACTCGATCAGTTGCCAATGAATTCAAAGGACTTTGTGACGGTAATAAAAAGAATTTGCGAAATCATTCTGGAATCTGGCACTATGGTTAGCATTATCGTCATTTAGCAGAACTGTGTATAAAAATAATCGTCAAACATTATCGATAAAATATATCCAAGCTAAGTTAAATCTGAATTGATCTATATAGAAAATATTTCATAATTTGGTTTTTCTACAATATAGAAAATTATATACATAAAAAACAGTGCAGAAAAGTTAAGATAATAGAGTGGATAATAGTGCAAATTATCGTGTTTACAGGTAAGAATTCGCTTTTTTTATCATTGCTATTATCACCAAACTCATATTGAAAAATCCAAGTGTCGACCAAATGATTTTCTGGGTTAATTTCTAACCAAGCTGACAACCAGTGGAAAAATTTAACCAGGGTTGACGAATAGCCACTTATTTTTCTTCCTTCTTGCGTCTTTCTTAATTTACTTAATTTGAGATAATTTAAATTGATTATGTAAAGGATAATTATCCAAAGTGTACAGTCGAGCTAATTTAAAATTATTTTCAGTGGCTTATTTGAACAACGCCTATCGGATGCAACCAAAGAAATTTTATATCTATATATTATTAGCCATTAACGCTTTACTTTTGTTGATTGCTTTCTGTTGTAAAATTTTCTGTTAAATCTTTATTATGGCTAATTCGTTTAGAATTGCTTCTCAAACCATAATTCTTAATATCTGTTCTTTGTTTTTTATATTTGCCTTCAATTTTGTTTTTCAAATCATAGTATGTGGATACAATCGGGATATGAATGAAATCTAAGGCATAAGGTGACGATTAACAGAATATCGAATATTTGATATTTCCAAGGGTTCGATGTAAATTTTTTCTCCATACTGACGGTACATATCATCCTTGATATTTTATTTTGCCTTAGAATTTATTGCATATCATTTAAATAATTTGGTTTTTTTTATTAATCGCTTTTCGCCGCCTTCTTTTGTCATCAAATAATTTTTCTAATCCATTTTTACGAATAAATAATGATGAAAATATATACGACTCTGTTGTATGAAACCATTAAAATTTTTTTCCACTGAACTTTATGGCACTTAGTTCTTACGTATACTATTAATTTTTTTTGTTTGTTCTAACAGCGGGAATTTTAATGAAAGTTTAACTCGCATTCAGTGACAAAAATAGCATTGACGGTATTGATTTCAGTCCAAGCATCATTATTTGTTATAACTTTTAAGGATAATTTTCCGAATCAATGCTCAGTGCAATGATTCATCTAGAATGCCATCTATTCCTCTCCAAAATTTATTATGGCAATCAACTTAGCAAAAAACTTGCTGAAACATTTTTTTGACGCCATTTAAATCCAATATGATTTGGATTCGTCCAAGATCAAGAACAAAAAAATTAGACAAGATCTAATTTATACTCGCAAAATATTACTTTGTTCTGTTGATCTGCTTTAAATTTATGATCACTCTTTAAATTTAAGTGGAACTAAAAGTAATTGAGCGAAAACATGAAAACTAATCTGTAAGAACTGCTGATTCATTTTCTACACAAATAAATAAATTAGTAGTAGTCTTTCTTAATTATATTCTACATTCTAAAGGATTCAATATATTGTTTGTACCGATTTATTCACCAAAAGTAAATGGAACATGTCAAAAATTAAATAAACATGAGGAGAGTTAAAAGTGAAGAGTTGAGGAACCATCTTCGGTTCTCTTGCGAAACTCATTAATCTAACTAAAATTAGTGCGTATCTAAACAACGCGTCTACAACTGCAGCGAGAATCGTACAACGTGACTAAAATGAATGCCTTTTCGTCTTATATATACAGGAAGCTGATAAGATACCTCTTTTTATAAATTCATTGTCGGTTGAGGAAATGTCCGATTTTAAATACCTTGGGTCCACTCTAATACCAAATGGCCAGGCAAAAGACGAAATTACTACCCGAATAACCGCAGCATGCGTTCTCCGAAACGTTTATGGAGCCGTCGCGAGACCACCATTAAGTCCGTGTCTATATAGCCTTGATTCGTTCGATCTTGCTAAATGGCTCTGAGACATGGCCAATGAGAGTGGAGAATATTAAGATATTATCGAACTTTGACCACTCTTATCTAAGGTACATTTTACGGGTCCGTTGCAGATAAAATTTTGCCTAAGGTATATCACATAATCACATCCACCTTTTCAAACACCACCTGTATTAATAATGTTATCACAGAGCGTCGCCTTCGGTGGTTAGGTGGTTAGGGTCTGGACTGATAGAGTTAGAATATATTTTGAATGTATAGGTGTACCAGCAATATATGGACTTATACGATGGAAAAAAGAAGTGACTTATATTACTGTCAACGATAGCATCAGATCGCGCCAGGTCTTACCCTTGGAAGTCTTACCCTTGTAGTGGTTGAAGGCAGCCTAACCAGTAATGATGAGAATTGTTAGAAGAAGAGAAAGACTTCCTCCTCGAACCTTGAAAATTTATTTTAGCATCGACTGAACTGATGATATTCATGAATGTATTCAATAAGTTTTTAAAGCTAAAAACGCTAAGCATTTTCATCCAACAGACTTCTGTATTAAAATTTTTATATTGCTTTTTAAATTTCGATAGTTTGCATCCATGATTTCAGAAATATATAGTTTTTTTATTCCACTCAATTTTTTAGGGAAAAAAACATACCTCTTTGTGAGAAAAGAGGTCAAATATAATTTCGAGAAATATCACATTTGATATGACATTCAAAAGAATTAGACGAGTGGATAGCTGGCAGCAGTAGCGATGCCGCAGTGGTTTTTACGATTTCTAGCCATTAATACATAACCATCCATACCCCATCCTGTTCCCCAGCTATAAATTAAAATAATATAATTTACGAAAATTACTATGAATAGTGACCAACTTATGTGAAAATTATGATTTAAGATACAAAAAATTAAGAAATTTCTGATTTACGGATCAGACCATCAACTATGTGACATGCATAACGGACATCGCTTGTTGGCACTCAAGAGATATATAAATCAGTCCAGAGCATATCACAAATCTTGAATGTCCTTTTTGTTAATGGTTATAACAAAATGCAAATAATGCTAAATAACGTATCAACAATTGCAGCGAGAATCGAACTCAGGATCAATATAAAATATTAATAAAACGAAAGTCTTTTCATCTTATTTGCAAGAAGATGATACCTACTTTTATCAGTTTTTTGTTGGTTGAGGAAATGCCAGATTTTAAATATCTCGGATTCACTCTAATCCCAAATGGAAAAGCGAAAGATGAAATTACAACCCAATGGTAATTAGAAATGCTTTCTTCCTGATGATGAAACCTTTATGGACTCGTCAAGAAATCACCATAAAAACGAAAATTCGCGTCTACGTAATCGCATTTCGTTCGACCTTGGAATATGGCTGCGAGACCTGGCCATTGAGAGATGAAGGATATTAAGAAGCTATCGACTACTCATGTCCAAAATATCATTCAAGGGATCCGTCGAGCATATAAAACCGTATATGATTGCATCCACTCTTGTTCAGATAAACAGTATTAACAGTACCATAAATGAATGCCGGTCTTTGCTGGTTAGGGAACGTTCTTCGTCGCACACCACAAGAGTTGAACATATTTCGTTACTTGCTAAATCCTATGACAGCCAAAAGCGAGGAGAGTCAGTCAAGGCCTGGATTGATATGGGCTCTCGATGGAAAAAGGAATGGCTTCTATTATTGTCAGCGATAGCATCGGACTGAATAGCTTGGAAATGTCTTACCTTTGTAGCAAGTGGGACCAGCCTAACCAATAATGGTGACAGCTTATAGAAGAAGAAGAATTTTCTTGATTTATGGATTGAATCGGTTTGTTTTTTTTGAGGAAAAAAAGAAAAAATTGTTCACCTATTTTTGACAATCCAATAATCACCATGCTTCTTATCTGTACCGTAGCCAACAACAAGCACACCATGATCTAGAGCTTCACTGCTGCAGTTCTTGTCATAATAAACACCTGAAATCAATAACTAATGATTTCTTGCCAAAAATTGTTAATGAATACTCATAAAAAATTACAAAATTTTAAAAAATGATCAAGATATACTAATATAGATTGCAAGAATAAATAAATATGGGGCATCTGTAATTTGATATAAATATAAATAAATAGAATCTTGCGGGTTCATTAAAATCGTGGTGAGAAATATTTTTTGCCTCAAATCTACTAAACATATGCATACACAACACAAGGTGGTTACAACAGCCACATATAGTATTTGTCGAATTTCCGTAAGGATTTGAAAAATTTAAAAACATCAACGAAACTATTTACTTTGGGAATCTAATTTAAAACTATGCAGAATTCCATCACCAAGAAATATTTATTCGACTAACCTTTCCCTCTCCTCATTTCTCCTTGTCCTGTTATTTACGTAATATATCAATTTTAATTTTACTTGTTTTCAAATAAAATATTATTTATTTAAGAGTAATTGTTTGTCCGAGCTCAAGGTAAATGCTAGCGAGAATAGAGGTTTTTCTGTACTCGAACGAGACTTACCCACCACGCTTCGTCAGGCAATAGTGTCGTCTAACGGAGAAAGCAAGTATAATAGCTAAATGAGTTATTGCTCAATTTGAAACCAAAAATCCGCGTGATGCTGGCGGCTCACTTGTACTTCTATCGCAAAGGAACTCCCTGGCTTATTTGTCCAATAAGCTAACGAAGCGTGACGAAACAGCAATGGTCAGTGCATTTAAAAAAAAAAAGTTTGCCTCTGATGAAAAATATTTTTGTATGCTCACCAGTTTTGTATGCTTGAAATGATAATTGTGAAGCATCTATAGCAACAGAAATCGGTCCTACAGTTGCGACTGCTTCTTTAAGCGCATGTTCATTGCCAGATGGAACATCTGTGAACCCAACATCAGTTGCTCCAATTGATTTCTTCTTGAATCTACACTTTCCTTCAACTCCTTCATATGGATAAGATACTTCTGTATCAATCCCTTTATTTTCTTTTATGTATTCGAAAGCCTGGAAAAATTTCTCGTCTATAATTTTCGCAGTACATTTAATTTAAGAAAATTAACCATTGGCGATCATCATTTTAATTTAATTTTTTGATTAATTAAATGGTTTAAATTAAATAAATAAATAATGGGAAAAGAAATTATATATAAGCTTGCATTATCCATCAATCCTCCGTCACATCCATGGTTTCCATATTTAGATGAGCAATCAACTAAATTTTGTTCGGAAAGTGAGACGAGTTTTCCAGTTTTTCGCATATGCTGCCCTTCCAAAGAACCAGTTGTACTAAATGACCAACAACTACCACATCGCCCCTGGAAAATTTTAAGTTGAAATTCTATTTGGACAATTTTTCAAATTAACAATAAGAAATTTTTTTCAAAAATTCATAAGGCTACGAATTTAAATAAACTAGAAAGAATAACGAAAAAAAACACAAGCCATTCAGCTTTAAGCTTCGAAAAAACTGTAAATATCTTATGGGATATAACAGGATTATAAGTCTGCACCTGATTTTTAACACGTGTAACATATCCCTTTTTCCTCCAGTCCACATTATCTGGAATTTGAGCATTTAATGGCCTTAAAAAAAGCGCCCTTAGTCTTTTCGTTTCATTCGACCGTCGATAACCATTCAGTTTTCTGTATTGTTCTAATGGCTGTAAATTACGAGTTAAAAATTTTTCCATACATTTTTCGATTTTACTTGCATTTTTTTTCAGATTAAAACAGAATTAAAAAGAGATTAAATCAGTGGAATCAGTTTATTCTGAACAACTGTTAATTATATGATATTATTCCATCTAATTACTCTTATAACCAGCGAAACAAGTCTAATCAGCCAGATTTCACTTCCAATGACAAGTTAACTCGCATGAAAGGTCAGAAATTGAACCTATTTCTATCTCTGGATGTGAATCCAGTTAAATTTAATTGAAAACTCAGGAAAATAAAAGAAATTTTCGAAATGATTATTTAAGAAGTTTTTTCATTCTCATATATTTCGATTGACAGACAAATGGCAGTATGAAGTGCTGAAGAACAATCCTGGTTTAAATTTTTTCAATTGACTTCAATTTAATTTTATTTAATTCAACTGTTTTCTTCGTCAAAAATGGTTAGTTACTTGAACACGGATCAGATTTCCCGCCCCTGACAAGAGTAAAACTGTCATCGAAAAGTTCGAGTGTTCGCAACCTACCTATCGCTAAGTGATCGCTGGCAAAAATTTCTATCCGCAGACAGAGGAGATATAACCAGAAACGACGGGTGATAACTGCAAACTTGAGAACTAAGCTGAAACGAAAGTAATTCGAACCAAATCCGTAAGATAGTTCACTCCTAACTGAAAACTTTCTTCGCCATTTTGATAACGTTCATTGTGTCGATTGATTGCTGCCAAATTTCGTAAAAACGTTGACAAATGCTCTGCTTCAGTTTGAAGATTTTCATAACTTTTATCTAAACAGAATTATTCGGCATAATTCATAATTCTTTGGTTAGCAAATGGCTAAATAATGACAAATTCATCGGTCCAGCAATGAATGATTCCAGAAATCGAATATATGATGGTTTAGAGAGGTGTTCAGCTGCACTGCATAGAGTTTAGCAATATCAGCCAGCCACATGGCCACACACCGCGCGAACATTGTGTCCAAACATGCAGAAAAAGTGAAAAATAAAAGCAATGTTAAAGAAGTAAATTGTAGTTAACTATTTGCAAGTTTAAACTCTTTCCACGTCTTCGAAGATTCAATTAGTTTTTCTATCGAAGTTTGTATAGCCATTCGACTATCATTTATTGATCTAAAAATACTCATCGATAAAAAAGTGGAAAAAAGGAAGGAAGCTATATTTTTACAAATTAAACATCCCAATAAAATCGTCGTTTCCCTTTATTTATTTATTTTTGATTTTATTCGCAGATGAATGAATAAAGTTTGCTTAATTGAAATGAATATAAAATCTGGAAATTTTACTATTTATGAATAAACTTTTTACAAAAAATTTTAGGAAAATTAACCCAAATATTTGAAGAAAATACGCGAAAATTACGAATACCAACAGTTTCATAATGATTCAACAAATTAGTGATGTCGAATACATATTTCGTCGATCTTTTATAACGAAACGAAGGGCGTATCGCTTTCGATAATGAATAACGAGGTGTAATTAATGTAATGAGGCTGTTTCGAATATATTCACTAAGATAAAGACGAAATATTGAGAAAATATCCTCCCTTTTATTCTTTCCGGCAGTGGAGTTACTCGTGGTTAAAAATGACCCTGGTCCACGGCACTACCCGCCTTCTATTTTTAATGATAACTTTATACCTATCAAACATCGAAACCATATCATGTGATCTCATTTCCACTGATAATGCATTTAACTTCAGTTTGCACAATTATAAATTAAACAGGAACTTCGAGGAAAAAGTTGATATATTAAAAATATTCTATTCTAACGATGGTACTTCGAAAAATTGTTGTTTATTTTTATTGACATCTAATATTATTATTAGTTTACTGCTTTATCAGATGTAAAAATGGCAATTATTGATTAGATTATCATATCAACATTAGACCCCTTCGTCCGATAGGAATGAATCTGTTACTAAAAAACCTCGTTACTCTGGAAATTCTACCTGTACTTTCATCTGCAAATTTTACTCCATCACAAAAATTTCTCGTCATATTAATAGCCAAAGTAGTGAACCTGGCTAGAAATGGTGATCGCCGATTACTTGCAGCTTTATTCGCTTATTACATTCATGTTAAATCTCAAGCCAGAACTTAATCTTAGCTTGAATTAAAACTTAACTTAAACATGAGCTTTAACACGAATCCGAACCTAAATGATGTATTCACATATCAATGCGGTGTCAAAATTATACTAATAATGTATTTGATATCCTCTAAAATAAGTTGGAATATTTTTGCATAATTTATTACAATAGTTGCTAATTTGTTACTAATTTTTCATTGGTATTCCATAGTTTTTTTTCATCGCCTCCATAGTTTTTTCAGATGAAATAGTTTTTAAAATTGAACATTTTACTTTTGTTGTCTTTAACTCAAATTCGCTAAATTCTAAATCTAAATTGTTCATTGCATTTCTTCTTGTTTTTCTAATAGCACTCACCAATTTTGGTTTGGTTTGCTTTATTAATTACTGATTAGGATAAGGCTTGTGAGATAGGTGCAAATGGGTATAACCAGCATACCTGGATCTTTTAATGCCAGACTCTCTTAATCACACTTAAGATATCTCAGCATTAATAGATCTCTCAATCATTTTGCTATTTATTACATCCAAGTTATCCTTGAAAAAAATATTTATTTATTTTTTTATTTTATTATTTATTTTATTTATTATTGCATTTATTATTGATATCCTCTAAAATAAGTTGGAAATATAAATATTACGAAATGAAATATTAGTGATAGATCATATATGTGCGAAATTTATTATTGTTTATTAATATTTATTATTTTTTTATTTCATTTTTTATTTTATGTTATTTATCTATATTTTCCTTTTTTCATTTTTTTCTTTATTTTTTTCTTTATTTTTATTTAAACCAGATATGATTTTTGGTAGACGTTGATTATATTATGAAGCATAACTTGATTATTCCATATTTCATCGCACATAAATGATCTATCACTAATATTTCATTTCGTAATATTTATATTTCCAGAATGAGAAGTGATAAGCACTCATCATTCTGGTTTTAAGCCAGGTCCGTTGGCAGTAAGAGGTTCGTTAACATCACTTTTCACCCAAAGACTTTATTTATACCAGAGTCAGGATTCGTTCCATTGTTTCTTAATACGATATTTTGTATCACTGTATACTCGGCTATCGCGACTCTATAAAATGTATGTTGCAAGGTTTGATAATATATTTTTGATGATTGCACTAAATCTCAAGATAATTAAATTAATGCAACTTATCTGGAATTTCGGAACATATAAATATTTTGTTCTTGCTTATGGGAATGCGAAATTTTCGTATAGCAGTGAATAACCTGAAGAAAAAGCTCGATCACTCAAAATTCAAAATGAATAAATATATGAACAATAAATAAATATTATTCCGTATGAAAACAAATTCGAGCGCATAAGTTTTAAAAAATTTATTTAATTTAAAATTTACTCACTAAAAAATGTTTTTAAATCTGAATAAATAATTTAGCGAAATAAATATATTTCTTGGAAAAATTAAGTTGCAAAATAAAATATTTTGTTGCAAAATAAATATAATGTAGAGCGAACACACAAACGTGAACATCAACCTACAATATTTCTTTTAAAACTGAATAAAACAAGAAAGGAAATTGTATGGTCGCGTGGTGTATCGCTTAGACCAAGCATCATGGTTTGAGATATTATTCTCTAGACGAAAATAAGCCTATAAGACTAAAAGCCAAATTTGCATGGTAATGGGAACTTACAGTTATTTTATCCGTAAGATGTTCTACAGTCCCCTTGGTAGCCTATAAAGTAAGCCAAATTAGATGATGAGCGAAAAAACAAAGCAATATAATTTAATGAAGAAATTCAAGATTAAATTAAGAAAATATTATCTGCTATTGGGTTTAAATCCAATATATTTTTTAAAGCATGATTTATCGAAGAATCTCAGCAATTTTCATGCATTTTTTTATAAAATTTTTATAAATAAAAAATTTTTATCGTTAATCAACGAAATTGACAAATCCTATTAATTTCTTATTTTTCTAGAATTCTTTAATGGTTCACAATCTTTGCAAATTCAACATTTTTCCCCGACTCTTTTTCTAAAATTTATAAGAAATATATTAGAAGAAAAATTCCTCGAAAATTTACCATCGCTGATTTACCATCGAAATTTAAAAAAAAAAAGCTTCATGAGAAAAATAAAAAATTTTTTTTCCTAATTTTCATTTTTATTTTCTCTTCCTTTTCTTGCATTTCGTGAATCAGTTTTCAATGAAGCAGAAATTTCGCAAATTTTTTTCCGAATATTTGATTTTCAGTCTTCTATACAAAAATTCTTGTCTAAAAAAATTTTGAACAAATTTTTCAGCCGAGCACCGAGCAACCTTTTACCTAAATTGTAAGTAGTTGGCGTTCATTAGGCTAGTTTCTTTGGCCATTATTACGATCAGGAATTGTAATAAAGGATCCACTTGATGAAAGAAGAGCAGCACCACGCAATTCTTTTAGCGATAGATCTCAGGGTTAAGGAATCGAATCTTTGTAACTCAATGCATATCGAAGATGGGCCATATATCTTATTTAAATTACAGTGAAAGGTTAAAATAATGTCCCCAAAATACTCAAATGTTTTGCCTCATGATTTCTGAATATTGACGGTGATAATCCTGAATAACGAAAGTAATATACTTTAAAGCCTATATATTAAAATGGAGCCCACATAATTGTCTTATTCACGAAATGATTATGAAATTGAATTGAAAATGCTCATCGTACGTTTTACAAAGAATAATCAGACGGGAAAGTTTAAAGATAGTTTCTAAAGATAGTTTAAAAATTTCAATAATTTTGTGTATTAAAATATTGATTCTAAACTATTTTGCCAGCTTTTATGAGAATTTTGACAAACCCTTGAATATCTCAGAGTAAAGTAGCTAGCATTAAGGTGATCTTAGTCATAGTTAGCTAAAGCCTCCAAAAAGCAAAAAATTTGTTTGATAATTTCCAGGCTTAAAATGATCAGTGGCCTTACTAATTAGTCATTCAAAAGGTTTGTGTTTCTTTGCTAACAATAACTGAAAGAATTCCTCTCTTACATTAAAAAAATTTCTAGAGCAAAAGAAACTTTGATGTGAAATTCAAGAGTAATAGACCATTAAAATTCGTATCCATAAGGATAGTCTTTAAATCAGTGGAGAAAGAAATAAGGACACCATAAGCACATTCCAAAGAAATACAAAATAAAGTTGCAAGATGCATTCTAATTTTAAAATAATTTTTTCACATACGATTTTTATATTTATAACAAAGTCATTGCCTTCCATTGCAAGCTTTGCATTTTATTATTAACATGACTGTTTTTATTTTTATTTTTTGTTCGGAAAAGGAATCATCTTCTGCTCAAATGCACGGCCAGAATTTAAAAATATCACAATCAACTAAAAAGTTTCGTTATAACTCACTCAGGCACTTTATAATATCTATTTATATTATACTATAATAATATAATATTCGTTTACATATAATAAAATATTTTAGGATATTTTTTATACTTGTAGAATTCCAAAAATTTTGGTAGCATAAAATGGAAAATCGTCTTTCATTACTTTGAACCTTAAAAATGGAGCTTGTTTTCGTGATATTGGTCCAAATAAAGCACAAAAAAGCCAAGTAGATAGGAGCTCTTATCGTGATAAGAGACAAAACAATGGTTCGACTCCTGTTCATAACAAGATAGATCTTTAATATCTATAATCCCGGCAAAAATTTATAACCATACCAACAGCCAGTGAAGCCAGTCTAACCGAAAATGGTGAATAGTGACCAACCCTGTTTTATAGCCTAATATTTACTAATCTTCTTTAATTTATTTTCGGTATTCTTTAATCTTCGGCTATTATTATTTATAAATTAATTATTTTCATTGCTAAGATGTAGCAAAAGTGGGGTAAAAAAATAATAATAATAATAACAAATGATAGTGATAATAATCACAATAATATTAAGAAAGATAATAATAATTATAATAGATAATAAAATAGTGATAATATTAATAATATTGAATAATACTGTGATGCTTGTTTAGAATTTTATGTAAACCCCTATCACCTTGGTTAAACCCAAAAATATCTCCATTTTTTCTTTCTTTTACAAAATGGTGCATATATATGTACATATATATATATATATATTTGAACCTGGTGAACCGAATGGTTGTTGCTAAGATTATTCTTTTCAGTACCATGATTTGGACTCGGCTTACCATAAAGTAAGTTTTTTAAAGTTGTTGTTAAAATGCCATGATGGTGCTTGGAATTCTTTTTCAAGTCGTAGGTTATTGCAGCGCAAAAATTTCTCACCATGATTAGCAATAAAGCGAGCACAACGAGAAATAGTGAAAATGCTAACCAATATATGTATATAATTTATCTCTAAATAAGGTTTTTAATAAGGTTTTAATAAAAATTAATATTCAGCCATCTTTATTTTGACGAACAACTCCAATTTTTATAGGTTTTTATAAATTTATAAATTTTATAAATTTTGGTTAAACAAGTGGATAACTGGCGGCTGCGGCAATACCGCATTGATTTTGACGGTTTCTTAACATGACCATCTTTTCCCCACTGCGTTGACCAACTGTAAATTCTCTATATTTGCCATGCTTTAGAAACAATGAAATGTGGTAATTTTGAAAAAAAATTAGTTCATCAAAAGAAAGAGATTAAAATACAGATAGAACTTAGGTTTTAAAGCTATTATTATCTTTTTTTAACAATCCAATAATCCTGATTTTTATTATTCATTCCTTCACCGACAATAAGTACATCATGATTTGAAAATTTATCGTCACATGCTGGATTATTATAAATACCTATAAAAATTTATATATAATCTAAATCTAAGGAATACATCTCTTATTTCTAATTCTATAGCACTATAGTATCAATTTTCTCGCTAAAATTAAACGATTATTTAAGATGCGATTAGGCAGGCGATTGTGGTCGCCCATTTTTCTGATTTTATCATTTCCCAATGTTCCAACGTTACTGTTATCACTATTATTATCACCCATTAATTTTCATTGTTCATTATTTTCTTCCTATCTTTTATTTATTTCAATTAATTATCATCGATAATTTATGGGACTCATGAGTAAACTTTTAAATTGCGATCACTGGGAAATTAAAATTGCAGTTTGGCATTCGTCATAAAAAATACGAGAAACAAGCGGTTGTTATTAAAGAAAGGATATGCTGATTAGATAAATTAATTATCTGATGAGAGCAAATGAGGAGCTCAAAAAGAAGATCAAATTTTGTGATGCTAGTGAAGAGATTTGCATTGTAAATGATGGAATGTGGTATATTTTGAAATAAAGGAAATTCTCTAGTTCCGAAGGAAAAGCCACTGCGCATGATAAGCAATTAGTTGATAATATTATAACCGCAATGAACATTGATTTGACCAGCTTTAGTGACCTTGAGATCTCGAATATTCAAAATTATAAAGCAGATATCTTACTTCATCTTTTGCCACATATCGACGAGATATACGAAGGTATACATGGGTGGCATAGTGGTAAGATAACTATCATTAAGAATCGAGAATAGCTGGAATTGCAATCCCAATATTAAGTTTTGTCGGATGACACTGTCGCCGAAGGGTGGAAGCAAAGAGAAATAGAACGAATTGTCGCTTATTTCGGAGCACCGATGCGAGACAGCAGTAAATTTATTTTTCACAAATCTTAATAGCGATAGCGATTACACTTAATTACACTTTTATCGTCGATTCCCTAAGAAAATTTGTTTGGCTTAATAAACCAGCAGATTGAACCAAAGCACTTTTAGAAAAAGGTGAGAAAGGTGAAAAAATTTTTTCTAAAAGCGCTTTTTGAAAAAATTCCGACTTACGAATAAGAATATCTATACAGCTTTATTTAAAGGCGGATTTTTGCGGAGATATCTGACCAGAAAAAAACCGGAAATTGATCAGCAGTGAGGAATACTAAATTCTTTATCAATAACTCAGTTTTAAGGAAATAAGAATACAAAAAACTGATATTTTTGTTAATATTAGAAGTACAAAGGATAAACTAAACGATCTTTCATTAACCCCGTGTTTACTGCATTAGCAGCTAAACGATATTGAACTGAATGATTTTGATAGTTCTGAAATATTACTAAATTTTTAACTATTTTATTTTAAATAAAAGTTCAGTCTCGGTCGCGAAAATAATTTTACTGTGGGCTATAGACATTTGACAATTAAATTTAATTTGTCAGACTCTGATTTTTTTGGGGATATTAATGCCCAATTTGAAATTTTTTAAACATTTATATTCAATCTAATAAGTATTTAGCGGTAACAATTCTCTTATTTGTTGCTGTATGGTATTGCGCAACTTCAAGCACATCGCTGCATGCCCATGTAAATAAATAAATAAATTGGTGGCACGAACCATCTGAATAATGGAAAAAATTGAAGGATGAAGCATCAATAGCAACAGAGATTGGTCCAATCAATTATTGCTACTGCTTCTGTTAGAGCAGCATGTGGTTAAATCTCCACAAAGCCATAATTCCAGCCTTTGCTATTTGTTTCACTGAACGGACATGATCCATTTTTTCCTTTATATGGATAAGATTTTTCAGTATTAATATATATGGATAAGATTTAAGTATTTAAGATTCAGTATTAATATATATGGATGGATATATTTATATGGATAAGATTCTTCAGTATTAATCCCATTTTCAGCCAAAACACATTGAAATTCCTTAGAACAAGCAAAAAATTCTTCAATTTGCACATTTAACACAATTTTTAAGATCGTTCCAATTTAATTATTCAAACCATTTTTAGTAATCGCTTAAATAGGAGGACCTGTCGTAGTCCGAAATTATCTTCCACAATTTTTTTGATAATTTTTTATATTTCCCTCAAAAATTTCAAAGTCCTTCAAAGTATCATGAGCCTGAAATTCATCAAACAATACTGCTATTACGATAAATGTATTATTCACTTGGTCCATAAGTCCCATACAACCATAATTTCCACATTTTGAACTGCAGTCGACTAAATTTTGTTCAGAAAAAGCAAGAAGTTTCCAGTTTTACTTCTGTGTTTACCTTCTAATGCTCCAGCAGCACTAAAAGCCCAACAGCTGCCGCATAATTGCTGAAAGTAAATTTTTTTATAATTTTTTTAATTTTAAATTTTAATTTTTCAATATTGATCAAGAATAAATCTTACTTGGTTTTTTGCTGGATTAATATCTCTTTTATCTCTCCAATCGATAGTGTTTGGGATGCAAAAATATTAGATAGCTGGTGAAATCTAGATTTTGCCCTTAATCTCTGCTGTTTTCCTTGACGATAGCCATTTAGTTGAGCGTATTCGTCATCTGTCTAAAATTGCTTTCTAAAAGTTCATCGAGAATTTTACGAAATTTCTTCTGGAGCCATGAGAAAAATGTAGTCAGTTAGCTAATCCTGTCGTAAACAACTGGGAATTGGTTACGAATAATCCAAAGTCAAATGAACTACGCTTGCTTACGACGACTAACGGAAAGTTTATTTTAGTCCTCCAGATTTCTTCGATTTTTATCATGATTCATTTAAATTTTTTCATTTAAATTTATATTAAATGCTATGATCACTGCAGATTTGATGAAATTATTTCAGTGATTTTAGTTATTTTTTTTTAGTTATTTATGTGATACAATTAGTCGTAGAATTATTTAATTAGTTTTGGTGATAAGGTCAAATTCGAATCTAATTTTTACCCATTAATCTAATCAATTTCTTATATTTATGAGGTAAATATAATCATTATTTGATTATATTTAAAGTTCTGCCGAGCTAATGAAAAATTCCAAAAAAATTTTGAAAATGGAGCCAGCAGAGAGTGTAATGTGGCACTTAACAGGAAAAATAAATATTATACATAACTATATTTTCAATACAAGCGCAAGCGCAAGGGGATAAAGTACCTCAATAAACTAGGTCATTAATGATGTCAGTTAGATGATTAATTGAAAGTTTGTACGATATTTCTCCTCTTTTATACTTCGTTACATTTCTCGATAATTTCTACCCTTTTCTTAAACAATGCTCAACGTTCAATCTCAATTCTCGGACTAGTAAATTTTGTCTATAAAATAATTTTTTTTGGTTAATTTGGTTAATTTGGTTAGTTCATTTGTTAATTTCAAATTACAAAATTTATTGTTTTGGAATTAAGAATGTTATCTTTAGAAAAAAAAACCATGAAAACATTATTAATGATTGAAAATTTGCCTCGTTTTGCGATTCTTTTTCAGTTATAGGGGATCTATTCTCAACTACGACTTTAATAGTAAGTAACCTACTGTATTTAGATTTAAAAACGAGCCATTTTTTGTCCGAAATAGTCAAACATGACCTGTATTAATTAATTATAAATAAAATGAGTAAAGATTTGCAGCAAAAAGATTTAGAAAAATCTTGACTTATAAAAATCTCTAGCGAATAGGATGGTCATCAGTGGTATGCTAAAAAAACTAAAATCAACCACAGTAAATTTCAGAAACCCTTGCATTAAAAGCAAGATTCGGTAATTTTAGAAATTCCTTTAAGCGTTCCTCTAGAGAGGGGCTGTTATTCTAATGGCACCAATATTTGAACAAGCCAAACCAGAGAGTGATTTCTGCTGTTAAAAGTAGCAGAATTGTTGAAATATAGGTGTCATTTCTTAAATGTATGATAAAGGCGCATTAAGTTTCATAAGTGGCATTAAGTTTCGCTTTCGATAAAATTTGCAGTAAACGGAACCATTATAACCATTTCATTTTAGATTATGAGCGAACAATTGTCTCCGAATTTAGAAATAGTTCGAAGTAATTTTAAAAAACCTTGGCATAAATTTCACATAATTGTACAAATGTTGCACATAATGAAAACTAAGATTTGAAAGATGTGTCGACAATGTAATTTAATGAATTCGCCGAAAGTACGATGAAAAATTTAACAATCAACTGCATTCAAAAAATTTTTTCTATCATGAAATTTCTTTGCCAGTTATTTTCGGGAATACTCGACCATCCAGTTTAATTTACAATAACTCTTTTTAGTCATGGAATGGTTGAAAGCCTTATTAAATTCGAAAAAAACAAATTCTTTTATAATATTTCGATAGTGATTTAAAACCTTAAAACTTATGTAATTGTAAACTTATGTAATTTTCTTTAATATTTCAATTCCACTGATAACATTAATTTTTATAATTTTTATAATTTATAATTCAGAATAATTTATTAACTAACATTCATAACGATCATTTAAATGGTTATTGCATGATCTTCAAGTCGTTATGAGTCGTCTTTGGTTTTTATTGCAGTGCGAGATAATTTTAGTCACATGATAATAGCCTTTACGAATTTTATGAATTTTTTATCGGAGAATAGAACCTCAATTAACAAATAAAATCAAATTTAATATTCAGATAGATCAAATGGTCTTAAGTGATTTATAAGTGTTTCCAATTTGGTCAAGCCGTCTATGACTGTCCAATTTCAGTCATTTGATCTGTTATTAGAAGCGGACGTTGTTGAAAATCTCTTCTTTCACCAAATGGCTCTCTGGTGAAAACGTCTTAACCTAGTGTTCACTGGAGCGGGCGAACCAGAAATTAAGATTGAAGGAAAATTTATTGTCATTATTCTTCATTATTCTCTTTTTAATAAAATGATAGAAGTATGTTTATGATCATTAATAATATTTATTTATCCATTCGATAAGCGCATTTTTATATGGATTATGGGGTTAATGCGAAATACTACAAAGGAATACTGAAGAAAAGTAAGTATTGTTAAAAAGTCCAAATTTTTTGGTTGATAATTGCGAAAAAAATAAACAAATACATTCAAGCATATTTAGGAGAAAAAATGGTAAAAAGCTCATTAACCCACCACTGACCAATTTTTTGATAACTTTGATAATATTTTTGGATATTGAAAATTGTTTATAATAAAAACGGCTGCGACCTATAGTGTTTAAAAATAATATCTCATAGATACTTCTTTTATTCAATTTCAGTAAAAATCATACTGAAAAGAATAAAAGAACATGGTGATATGGTGATATGAAGTCAAAAAGCATAAATCAAATATTTGTAGGAAAATAAATCAAAAGTTACTAAAGATGTCTGAAAGGTTTTGCAGACTGTGGACCAATAGCGAGAATTATTTTATGCAAATTTCTTTATAAATATACAATTCTACTCATTCTTAAACTATTTATTTGACAGGATGGGGAGAAGGATATATATTTTTATATATGTATAAATTTTTCGACCGATTAAAAATGGAAGTGTAATAAAGTGTAAACATAAAAACACCATAGAAATGAAATAGAAGTGAAAGAAGATAAAAAATGATCCGTGGTACCATGAAATTTTAGATACATCCATTATTACGATGACAATAAAACGTGTACATACAAGGTTACTGATGGCCATTTATTAAGCATCTTTTGGTCTTCAATTCAAATCCAATCTATTGCGAAAATCAATTCCATTCGATAATTTTGCTTCTCGTTTCTTTTTTGGTGGTCTTTTCATTAAATGGATATTGTATACCTCTGTAATTAATTCCTTTTTAATCTAGAAATCATATGAATATCAAAAATTAAATTAAAAATCAGAATTTCTGAAACTGATTGAAATAATATATGTAATAAGTAAAATTAAATGGTGCAGATACAATTTTACACGATGGTCAAGTGAAATATATCTTTTACTAAGGCCGAGCATTATTTTTTCTTCTTGATTTTCTATGGTTCTTTCACAAACATCTGTCACTGAAACTGAATGGTGATGCTGGGGATTCTCCATCTGTATTTCTTCAAACGCTCATGCTCATATCTTACTATATAAATCTTTTAAACTGATTCTTTCTATTGGAGATTAATGAAAAATCATGTTTAACTTATTCGAATTAATTTCTATTTAAGGAAATAAATATGAAATATGAAAAATATATTCAAAATTTATTGAAAACGATTTAAAGTTTAAATAATATTCCAAAATCTTTTCTATTTTTTTAACAGATATTTGTTTACTTAAAATATATTTGAAAGGTTTCGGTTTATCATAAACTATACTTTTTGAAGTTGTAAAATATACTTTTCACTAGGAATCATTTTGAAAAGATGTGCGACCACTTCGCTTGTTATAAGATCACCGGCATTCAATGCCATCAGTCTTATAACCAAAATTCCATTGTTTCCTAAATAGAATACAAAATCGTTCAAAGCCTTATCCATATCCAATGTTCCCCCCTGAAAACTACGTTATTCCACCTTGAATAATAAGCAAAATAAAAGCATGATGCGAAGAAACAAAAAAATATTTAATTGGAACTTGTATTCCTCCAAGTTTAATAAGATCCAGAAGATAGTTGCGTTTGAATGTTGGCGATGCCATAACAAATAACCAGTAAAATAGATTTACACTTGTCGAAGTCATTAAGACCAAAATCCACCACCATAAAGCTATGCAGATCTTTTCATTAAACATATTAGTCATCAAAACACATTGAATTGTATGATGATGATGGTTGCCCATAGCACGCACCTTCAAATATATGACAATATTTATGATATGAATTTTTTTTTATGATCCATTTTTAAACGAATATACAAGTAAGTAAAATAGCTGTAATTTAATGAAATGGCATAAAATTATAACAAGAAACAAAAATAAATACGATTCTGAAAATAATTTTGGATGAATCATTTTGTAAAGATTTTTAATAGCATGCACAGTTTATGACTTGGCTGGTTCCATTGAGTAACAGGTTGGAGTATTTTTTGCCAAAGTATTCCTTAGAAAAAATTTTTTAGATAAATTAGATTTGAAAGTTTATCTTTAGAGAAAACAAATACTAAAGGAGTTTATTTTAAGGCCCATTAAAAAAAGGTCATCTTAACTATTTATTCAAGGTTTTTGAAACAACTGACTCTAAAATCGCACATCGTTACTCGTGGAAATAGTCCAGTGAGTTCCCAAGTGCGTCCTTCAAAAACTGCTTTTGTTAACTCGTATCCATTAACACCCAAATAAGTCGAAAGAATCCGAAACTAAGAAAATTATTATTATTTTTCTTTTAAATTATTTTTCAATATTATAAAATGGATATGGCAGAGAAATTTCTAAGGAATTTTACCAATGATAGGCAAAAACAGTTTCTTCTTAATATTTTCATGAAGAAAAAAACTTACTTGAAAAACGGTGTTAATGATAAAAAAAATCTTCGTCATTAAGTAAATGAAACACAAATTTGATCCAGATAATAACCTAAAATAAATGATAATACTTAGCAAAACAAAGCTTATTTAGAATGAATAAAAATCATGGAGTCAAAAGAAAAAGAGTTAAGAAGGGAAGAGCACTTCAGCACTTTTAGTGTTTAACATGAGCCAAAGAAAGGTTGGTCATCACGAGAATGGTGAAGGAATGGATTAGCCAGTTAGGTGACCTTAATTCACTTCAATATTTAGTTAATCACTATTTTAAGGCAGGGAACTTCATCCATAGACGATGCCATATGAAAACAATCCAAGAATTATGGAATAATCCAAACCAATTAACTTGCCTCACTACCGCTATGAATGGATTACTGTGGGTTGCTCGTCGACATAAAATATCAGATCCCAATGCATGATATAAATGATTCGCAATAGCAATAATAGTTTCGTTTCTTTTTTTATTTAAATTTTCATTTCGAGCATTATTCGCCATCGATATTATTGTTTTCATATAAATGCCTATAAACTATGGCACTATGAATAAGTATAAGTTAGTTTTTTATGCGCTAAACTTCTAAAAATTAATGAAAAAATTCTTTAAACTTTTTCGAAAAAATTTTTAAAAATTTCAAAATTTTCTAGAATTTTTAATTTCTTCTCGAAGAGATTTCACAAGCTGATATGATTATATGATTCTATTTGCAAATAAAATGGAATGCAAATGATTACATATGATTACATATATTAAAATGAATCAAGTATACCATTGTTCTTGTAAAAATTTTTTATAAGAAAATGATTAATAATGAAATAGAACTTTACCAAATTTCGGAGCCCAAATGCCCGAATTTCTCTTGTTTAGATTAATTTATTGCCTGTTTTTTTTGAACCAATCGTTAAAGAATCTGGAAGGTGATGGAGTCCTACCTGTGTTTATATCTTATCTGTTTAAACCCAATGGCAAGATTATCTATTAATTTACACTTTCTTCTAAGGGCTCACCATTGCTACTTAGGCTCATTTCATTGGCGGGCAAGACTAATTCGCAACGAGTAACTTGGCAATAGAAGCAGTACCATCCGAGTTTTTGAAGGACAAGTTTACTTTTTTTTTTAGCTTAATATAAGCTTAGCTTCACAGTTGTTAACTGAACGGCCATCAACCCAACGGCCATTTTAATCGCGAGACGAAGCATGGTAGATCTGTTGGATTCAAATCCAAGTCATTTCAATTTTCGATGGTGTTCATTTTGCCACTAAGCGACCGGTGTGCCAAAGATTTTTTTTAATATTTATAATTCATTCTCAGAAAGAATAGGGAAATTAAATAGTGCTAACCTGTGGTCCAATTTAACATTCTCCAAAATATATGTGGTACTGTGAACAAGAAAGCTTGAAATATCAGCAAAAAAGGAATCCACTGAAAAAAAAACTACATTTAGCATTTTCCAAAATATATGTGGTACTTTAAATATATGCAAAAAAAACTTGGCCACACAAATCGCCTGTTTTTGTATATCAATTAGGATATCAAAATTTTCAATCTACTTTTAGAAAAAAAATTTAATAGAAACGTCATGATTTTCGTTAGTTGCTATTTGCTGATAAGAGATGTAATACTTTTCCTTTATCTGATATTTTTAATCATCAAATAATAATAAAAGGTTTCTCTGTTTTTGAATGTCATTGAATAATATTACAGTTAATTTAATATATTTGCAAGTTTTTTTAGAGTTTATTTGGAAAAATAATCCAATAAGTATTAGCTTGGCTCGACAATCTTTCTATCTTTCTATAAGTTTTTTTAATGACTGAATATCCGAGAAAAGTTAATTCATGCAACCAGGCAGCCATAGCAATATCAACATTTATTGACCTGGTAATAGGTAAGCTGCTTTTGCAACTTCTGTTCTGAATTCTTAGGTATATCCTCAGTAATAGGTACATAATAGGTATTTTCTACGAAGCAAAAATTTTCAGCGTATTGTTCCCATCCTTGTTGTGATGAAAGCTCACTGGGAAGCCAGCACTGGATTGGATCTCCGGCGTATTCCTGTAGTAACAATAAAATATAAAATGCTATTCATAAGAAATATAAAAATAACGTATATTTAAATATATATATATATATATATAGGGAGAGAATGGCTCAGTGGATTGTTGCTCAATTCGGAGCGCCGGTACTGCGATTCTATTTCCCACAAGAAACCTGTTCAAAAATCCAGGTTATACTGGCGATTCATCTGTACTTTTACTGCCAAGGGCTCTCTGGCATATTTGTCCAATGCAACAAGCCAGCGGAGCGAATGTAACCAGTAATGGTGAGGACTCTTAAGAAATATATATATATATAAATATTCAGGGAAGTCATGTATTTTAAAATTAAAGCTGTAAATAAATTGGATTTATCAGAATTGCTAAGTAATTTGTATAATTCCATAAGTGACAAAATCATCCTCTTTTCCTTTCTATAAAAATTCCCATCATTTTTGATTTGACTGGATCTATTGTTCGATTATGAAAGTGGAATCAATCTCTCAAAGATTCATTTGCAGTGGCAGTGCAGGTGGCTTCCATCAACATCTTATTTTATTTAGTAATCTTATGTCATAAGTGAAATACAAGCTCGAACCTTTGCAGTGATAACAAAAGCTGCTATAAGAATTATGTAACCAGTAACATGATAATTCAGTCTGTCAATAAAATCTTCTTCATAACGTGGTTTCGTTATAGACTCGATTAATTTAGCCAAACGATCCATTTTACCACAAGTCTAAATGAAATCTGAAGTTCACTCGCGCAATTTTCTCACAGAAAATGGGAAATCGCAGTCATCAGATTGATTTGCGCTAGTCAGGATATATAAGCTGTTCTAATGATTTGGAAAATTCCGGTTGAAAGAAATCTAATATTTATAAATCTAATATTGATTTTTTGAAATAATTTTTTGCATTTTTATACTATACGATTAACGATTTGAAATGAAAGCATCGATTCATTTTGCATTATTCGTATTTATTGGTCTGCCTATTCGATTTTGGAACAATGCATGCATGATTAGCATTTAGCCTTTATCTTATAAGAGCTTATAATAAAGAACCAAAAATTGAAAGAGATGGTAGCTTCCTGAGAGAAAATAATGCAAACAATGAGGTCCATTTGTCTAAAAATAATCTTTCGAAAATAGTTTATAGAACAAACCAAATATTTCAAATTATAGTTTCGAAAAACAAAGCTAATCTCCTTTATTGTTATTCTATTCTCTAATATTTGTCCTCATTTTTCTTTATTTTTATTAAATTAATAATATTAAATTAATAACTAATTAATATTAATATTAAATAACAATCTTAAATTATTAATACCAACCTGTATAAATTCTTTTAACATATTATTAAATAAAATTTAAAAATTACGAGGAAATTTGAAGAGACCAACTCACTTGAAATGGTTTAAATGGAAGAACAAATGAAAAGATAGAAATGCGAATGATTTCAATGTAGACGATTAATCGTACAGATAAAATATGATCTGATAAAATACAACTACACATTTGCGTTCAGTCAGCTTATTTGCATCTTTTACGAGCTATTGTTTTAAGCCATTTTGCTACTTGCTTCTATATATGTTTAATCTTTCAAAGCTCTTCTACCCTATTTAATGAGCGATTTTTTGTGTGAGGAATCTTTTTTTAAATTTTTAGATATTTTTCGCCTATCTATTATAATGATTATTATTACAGTTATTCTATATTTATCAGATTATTCTATATTTTACAATGATTTTCTATGCCTTTCGAATAAGAGTTACTATTTACTACAAATCTTTCCACTTTTCCCACATATCAAGGTGGGAAATGATCCTATTTCGATCTATCGCTATATTATTGGCGCATCAGTTAAATAATCTGGTAAATCACTTTGCAAACATTGATCTGAAACAGAATTAAGCTAAATTTTGGAATTTAAAAGTAGAATTGATGAAAAAAAAATCTTCCTGAATCTTGAATCAAATCAAATCTTCAAATTTATGTCATGATATTTCTCGTCAACCAAAAGTTCTTTATTTTAAATGGCTTTCTTTATTTTCTTACTGCTTTTAATTTCAGTTTTGTTATATTCTTCTGGCATATATACATATATATATATAGCATATGGGTATTTAATCTTTATACTGATTCTTTATACTGATTTATAGTTTCGAAAAAAATAGTATTTTTTTATCTTTTTCCTAGCTTAACTGGCTTCAAAAAATGCTAAACCTTTTGAACTAATGCGGTAATCTTTACTAATTCATTATACCTCTAATCTATAGTACTTTGTAGTTATGGCACTCAGCAATGAAGTTTTATTAAATTTTTCCGTGTTTCTCGAAGGGAACTATGCTTTCGAAAAAAATTAGTTTTGTGCTATTAGAATACTAGAAATTATTAAAAATATGGTTTGCTCGCAAGAGAAAAGGCTCGATGATCGATATCAGCAAAAATAATGCATAAGTTTGATAAGCACTGCATCAGTGGTTTGCTTATCGATAATTTACTTGTGCTTGTGTCTTCATAAATTTTGTACTTTGAATAGCTTTCTTAATCATTACGAATTTGTTTAATTTTTTTGTAAGATTTGGAGTTGGTAAGAAATCATATTTTTGGCTAAAAAATGTCTTTATAACTTTTGTGGTATAACAAAACTAACAAGAATTAAATAAAAACTTAACTGTGCAGCAACCACAGTTTCTGGTAGAATCACCAATTTATATAGCCTTTTTTTCATGCATTTTTTTTCATATGCATACTTTAAACTATTAAAGTTTTGAATAATGGACAATTTTGATACAAATTTTCATAGAAAGACGTAGTTACGAGTTCATAACTGATAAGCAGATAAACCAAGAATATAAGAAAGCAAATGCACTCAATTAATAAATATAATAAATTTTCATGGCTTAGACAATCATGAAAATCTAAGCAGTGTTTATCAGTTAATCTTCTTCTTCTAAAAGCTCTCACCATTACTGGTTAGCCTTGCTGCACTGGCTGCAAAAGTAAGATTTTTCCAAGAAGCCATTCCTTATTCCATCATCTAAGTCCCTACATTGCTGGTTCACCTATATGTTCAAAATTTTTCCTGACCGTGTCAGCCCAGGGATGATATACCCATTTCGACGTCACCCATCCCATGATTTAGCAAGTAACGTCAACTCTTCTGTCACTTTTGCGGTGGGCGACGAAGAGCGCCCTAACCAGCGAAGGCGACGCTCTCTGATGGTAGTAATTTACTGCAAATAGTACTTGAAGAAGGTAGATCATATGACATTTTATCCACTTGACGAACCCGTAAATTTGTTTTAGACATGAGTGATCAAAGGTAGATAACCTTTTAATATCTTCCACTGTCACTGGATTTGGTCATTTGGCAGCCATATAGCAAGATCGAACGAATCGCAGCTATATCGCATAGTTGAATATAGCAGGGGAAAGAACAAGGCTTTAGTTTTTATGATGATTTCGCGACGGCTTCATATATTTCATTAACCCGAAGAACGCAAATGGCAGTGATTTATATTCCTCATTTTCCTTCCTTGCATTTGGACCATGAATTTTGGTCGATAAATTATTTTATTTCTTATATTTATCGCACCGCGAATTTCTTGAAGAGCTGCAAATTTTTTTTATTTTATCCGAGTTGCAATTTCGTCTTTTGTTTGGCTATTCGGTATTAGAGTGGACCTTGTATTTAAAATCGAGCACTTCTTCAGTGGGCAATGAGTTTATAAAAAGAGGCATTTTATCAGCTTCTTGCACATAAGACGAAAAGATTTTCGTTTTATTTACATTGACCCTTATTCCGTTTCTTGATGACACATTGTTTAGCATTATTTGCATTTTATCATACTTATCAGCAAAAAGGACTACGTTATCAACATATTCCGTGATATGATGCTTTGGACTGATTTGCACACCCCTTGACTGGCAACAAGCGATGTCCAGTATCCAATCTATCGCATAGTTGAATATTGTTGGCGAAAGGACTTATCCCCGACAGACACCAGTTTTTATTTCGAATGATTCTGTCAGTTCCCCATATCCACAGATCTGCGCGGACGTTCACTCATAAAATGCCTTTATGAGTCGAATGATCTTCTCTGAACATCGTCACATCCCATCGCTCTCCAAAGCGCCGTTCTATTAATTGAATCGAGAGCAGTCGATGAAACACGTGATGGTGGGTTGCAAATGTTTCAAGTGATGTTCCAATACCATTCTTAACGTGAATATCTGGTGGCGCCCCAGTCTGAATCCAGCTTGATTAGGGCACTCCTGCTTCCATAAGTCTATTGAATGTAAGGGGAGGGGAGGGGAGGGGAAAAATTTTCGCTGAGACGTCTAATAGTAGGTTATTCCCTAGGGAAATAATTGTTTGTGCCATAATTGACACGAATTTTAACTTTTCAGTTAGTTTAGCATAAACGATTTCTGAAGGAATCCAGATGCTTAAAATCCATAGTAATTTTCTATTATTTTCTAGTAATATTTAATAAAATTGTTTTTATTCCAATATTTCTTTTTTCTGCATTCCCTAATGTTGCATTTACTGCAGATAAATTGAGTCATTTTATTTTAATGACTCAATTTCTGTTTCAGCGTTTAATCGATCTTTGCCACATTCTTAATACTGGCTTATTGATGTTAATAAAATTGTTTTTAGTAACAGTAGTTTAAAAAAAATTTGTAAACATACCCTTAAAATATTTTTACGACTTATTTCTTTTCTGAGCCATGCATAGATTTGATTGCGCGTTACATTCGGAATCCTTTCTACTTTCAAGTGGCCTCCTCTAGGAGGAACCTTAAATAATCAGCGAAACTAGCTAAGCAAGAATTGGTACTTGCTATTTGAAGGAAAAAAAAGTAAATCCTGCTTAAATTACTATCATTAAAATGCTATATTTCACTGTTTCTATTTCTTTTGTTTTCTTAAGTCTTATTTCATTATTCTTTCCAAAAGGAGATTGAAAGGTTGCTAATGCTAACCGAATTATCAAAATGCTTGGCTAATCTGCGAGCAACTCATGATGAAGATGCAGCAGACAGATTGAACTATTTTTATACAAATTTTTTGTTACTCACATTTGCGATATTACTTTCTGCTAAACAGTACGTTGGCGAACCATTACAATGTTGGGTTCCAGCTCAATTTAAGGTTATTTACAATTCCATCATTTTATCTCCAATTTAAATCTCCAATTTATCTCCAATTTATTTAAAATCTCCAATTTCTGACTCATTTGTTATTGTATTTAATCCATATCATCATTTTCTAAATGATTAATTTGAGTAATTTAGAAGAAATTTAAGAAATTTAGAAGTAAAATTTAGAAGAAAAAAAAAAGAAAAGCCTAGAAAAATTTACAGATGATGAATTTTTTAACAAAAATGTTAACAAATTTTAACAATTTATCAAAGTTTTTTGAAAGTTGTTTATTTTTATTTTTAATGAGAAAGATCTTGAAGTAACATTATCGATATTTTGGTGCTGTGTGATGTTCCCTGTGGTCTCATATATATAGTTCTACCCTTTAGGTGACTCTCTAATGTCACAGATGTCATTCTAATAACCAGTGGAGTCACAAAATCAGAGATAAAAAGATAAAGAAAAAAAAATTATAGATGTTTTACCGTTTTCACGATAAATTTAATTTATAAAAAGAGTTGCACCAAAAAATTCAATTTTCTTGACAATTATATGTATTTTCTTCATCAGTATTCATTATGAATTTATGAAGAGCGAAGGAGCGAAAGAAAGATAATAAAATCTTAATTTATACCAGTAGTACGATATTAAAAAGCACCGAAATACGGAAACCTTCGTCAGTTATTTGCGGTTTAAGCTAAAGATAATATGACAATTTTTTTTATTAAAGCAAATTTTTACTTTCATCTAGAAAGGAAATAATTCAGAGCGGATGGGAGAGTTACGTCGAAAGTCACTGCTTCATTGAAAATACTTATTTCGTGCGTTTGGATGAAAAATTGCCGGATGATGGAAAAGAAAGAGAAAAAAGGTTAATTTCTTTCTCTTCTTTCGGCAAAAATTGCTTATAACACTTTAAAAAAATAGATTTTCCTATTTACCTATTCTTTCACCTATTCACCTATTCTTTACTACATTGTATAAATCCATTTTTTTTTATCTGAAAAGAGAAAGTATAACGTTTATTTCAAGATTTATAGAGACCCAGTTGATAGAATTTTTACCGATTCTCCACTAATTATTGTGTCGAACAAATAGGTAATAAGTTTTCATGAAAAGGCATAATAAGGAAGTTGATATGGAAGAAAGAAATAGTACCAGATGACTGAAGCAAATCAATTCTGCTCTTAATTCTAAGAAAGATGACAATTACTGAGGAATCAACCTACTAGACGTCTCAGAGGAAATTTTTGTTTCCCTTGTACTCAAATATGCAGTAGAAGATAGTGATGATGTGTCCTAAAAAAGCTGGATTTAGATGATGCTAACTAGATATTCATGTTAAGAATGGTACTGGAACATCGCTTTAAGTATCTACAACCTACTTTTTACGTGTTTCATCAACCTTGTTGCCTTCGATTCAATTGATAGAACGGCGTTTTAGAGGTCATTCGACTCTTAAAGGCATTTTATCAGCAGCGTGTCTGCACAGGTATGTGGTGAACTAACAAACTCTTTCAAAAAAGAATCGGTGTCAAAGCTACACCCTTCCTTTTATAATATTTGACTGTGTGATAGAATGGATAATGGACATAATTTGTCAGCTTAAGACAAATCAGTCCAGAGCATCGTATCACAGATCATAGAATACGCAGATGATGCAGTCCTTTGTGCTCACTTACAAAGTAATGTAAATAATGCTGACGAATGTATTAATAACTGCAGCGAAAGTCGGACTCATGATCAATATAAATAAAAACGGAAGCCTTTTCGTTAGAACCTGCCTTCGATTCGTTAGAACCGGATAATGGACATAATTTATATTTATACCCATCTTTATAGATTCTTTACTGGTTAAAGAAGTGCTCGATTGTAAATACCTTCATTCTGATCTTAATTGGCCAAAGGACAGAATTACAACCCGGATAACGGTAGATAAAAATACGTTCTTCCGGTTTACGAATCCTAAGTAAAGCCATTGCAAAACACCATTAAAACAAAAATATTCATTTATAGCTACAATTTGCTTATTATATGGCTGGAAGATATAGCAATAGCAAATGTGGTGGAGAGCATTAAGAAGTTGCTTTGATTAATGTTTAAAAATAGGTGCGCGGAGCGAATAAAATCGCGCATGATTCCATCCACCTTTACTCAAATACTATCCACATCAATACTACCATCACAGAGCGCCTTCTTTACTTCAAGCATGTTCTTCATCGTCCATCACAGGTGGCGCACATTTCGCCACTCCTAATTCCCGTGATGAATGGTATCAGAAGTGAGGAGCGCCATTAAGCGAGGATTAATCAGGAAACATTTTGAACGGGATCAGTGAAATATGGATTTACAAGATGGAAAAAAGGAATACTTAATGCTCCTATTATTGTCGATGAAGGCGTCAGATCGAATAGTTGGAGGCTTACCTTTGTAACTAGCAGAGCCAGCCTAACCAGTAATGGCGAGAGGTATTAGAAGAAGAAAGTTGGATCTATCAATTTTTTAATTTTCTAAATTAAGAAATAATTTTTTTAAACTGAGACTAATACAGATAACTCTAAACTGAAAATTTTTTATATATAGGAAACGAAATGCGGATTTCTATGCACAAGATTTTAACCCATCATGAGCGAAATAATAATGCTTAAATTCATAATCGAAGCAACTGGAGCTAAATAATTATCATACCCTTAAAATTTTTTAGAGAGCTTATATATTATCAGTGGCTTCCGTTCATTCTCATATTTCAAGCAGCTTTATGTTATTCTCCTCGCATGATTTGGAAATTAATGAGTAATCAAAGTGGTAAAATTTTTGACTAGTAAATAGTTTTTTATTTATTTATTTGCTAAAAATACCACGGGTTTTTATTCTTTCTATTTCAGTACTCTTCACAATATTTTAACTCTTAAGGAATGAACCTTTCTAACTTTATGGCTATGGCATATTCAACGAAAAAAATAGGTGACAGAAAGAATTTCAGTGATTTAGATTATTCGCCGCTTGTGACTCGTCTGGAAGAACACGTCACTCTAGCTAAAGGTTTTGCTATTTTTATTTTTATATTTCTCGAAATCTCTTTTTATCATGAGATCTCATTTGTTTGCCAAGAATGCATAAAAATTGGTGTTCAGGCACTTTATACAAAAAATGTTTCAGCTAGCCATCTACATTTTGGAAAATATGTCACTGCTCTCTATTTGGTTGTTAAATTTCTCTGGCTACTCAATATTATTGCACAATTCGTAATTCTGGATCTGTTTCTAGGACCTCAATATACATTTTGGGGACTAGGCATTCTTAATGACTTGATCTACAATCGACACTGGAGTATAAGTGGCCATTTTCCTCGAGTATTCGTCTTTTTTAATTATATCTTGGTTTTCCATATCTTTTTCTTTTTTAAGCCTAATTAACAGAGGATCAATTTTCTTCTTGTTAAAGGTTACGATGTGTGATGTTACTGTTCGGGAGCTTGGTAATTTCCATAACTGGACAGTGCAATGTGTCTTAATGGTAAATATGTTTGCTGAGAAAATTTTTATCTTTCTGTGGTTTTGGTTCTCGTTTGTGGCATTAATTACTCTTATGAACTTTGTTTATTGGCTGCTTGTGACTTTTAGCCAAAAATACCGTATAAGTTTCGTGCGAAGATATCTAGTAAGTTAAAAGCTATCATTATTATATCATTATTATCATTATTATAAAATTTTGGGATATATTTGAAATTTTTATCGTTATAATGGAGGAAAAGTTCAATCGATTTACTAGCTCATTCATTGCTAATAATTTAAAGGAATGCTAAAAAAAAAACTTTTAGGTATTCTCCAATTTTAGCTCATGAAATAAAATTACAGGATTTCAAAGAAGTGGGCGTCGCAAGTGATGCTCAGCTGAAAGAATTCATTGATAAAAGACTAAAAATAGACGGTATCACTATCTTGAGATTGATGAGTGATAACTGTGGCGATCTTGTTGTTGCCGAAATTACTTTTCAGCTTTGGAATTTGCATAATACTTGCCAAAATGCACGAAGTAGTTTTATACGTAATTTTATACGCAAATTTAAGTAGCTTTATAAGCAAACATTTAATATAGAGAGTGGTGACGGAATCACTGTGAAAATTAGTCCCTTCACCCGTTCAAGCAACTTAGACTCCTATGTTTCTGTCATAGATTTAGATACCTATCTGAAACGCAAAGCTAGAATTTCTAAGAACATTCATCCATTTTTTTTTCATTTGTCCTGAGTAAATTTTAGCTATATAAGAGCACCGATACATATACTATTTTTCCAGATGAAGTAGCTAGCAGACCTCAAAGAAGTTGATCTATGATATGATATGCGATAAACAAGAATTAATTCATTTTTCTTTCCTCTTTTTTTGGCATATCTATTGAACTTATTAAATTTGTTACTGTTCCTAATGCAGTATTAAATGTTTGTAAATATTCTTTAAGCCATTTTAGATTATTTATGAATAAATCACAAATTAATAAAATTTTTTCAGAATTTTACGTTTTTAATCTAAAATTTAGTTGTATTCTAACATTTTTCCATTGTATCTTCGTTTTCTACTATTTATTATTTAAATTTTATTTGCTTACCTACCATAAATTCTTAATGGCACATTGCATATCAATAAGTTATTTTCACTTAATCCATTAATCCATTCGTTCTAATATTCTACTTAATACAGTAAATCAGTAAATCAGATTGATAATATTCGTATTATTTTCTGATTTTTCCTGTATTTTATGCATGAAATAAATATGTATGCTTGTTGTGTCCTTCTTATATATCCTCAAATTAAATTTACGCTCCTTAAATCGTATGTTTCTTGCTAACACTGCGAACTCAACTAAATGGTAAAAGCAAAAATAAATAATTCACAACTACTTTTTTTAAAATTACCATGACCTTAAAAACCGGAAATCAAATGAATGAAGAGAGAGAATGTTCTCATGAATTTTATAGTAGAAGAAAATCTGAAGCAAAGAAAAAGCAATAACCAGCATGTCAATCGCTAAACCTTTACTGTCTTGATAGCATGATGCTGCTTAACAGTGGGAAAATATTGCTTAGCCTAATATTTAGCGATTCACTGAAAAAATCAGGTTTTCCATTAATATTTTATTTTCTCCAAGTCGGTAACCGTTTTTTTCAACATTTTTTAAAATTATAAACTAATCGAATAGCCAAAAGATTTAAAAGGTGCTAGGTCTATGTTTCATGGCTCATTTTTATAAAAAAAATGAAGGATTTTGTGCAGTAAAGAATGTTATAATATTAGCTATCACTGACCATGTTTGCCGAAAGTGACTCTTTACGATTACATTATTAATATTTAGGCGAAATTCCTATAATTCCAGAATTCAAGCATGATCAGATTACCCGTAAAATAATGAAATATTGAATTAATAAGTGGGAGTTTTTGGAAATAGAACTGCTGAATTCACTAAGATCCTCTGTTTAGGCCGCAAACTCTTCCATAATCTTGTAATTAGATTTAATGCAAGATAAAATAATAATAGTTTAAAATAGATTAAAATAGTTATATTTTAGATTTTGAGGGATAATTTAGATTTAAATTTAAAATTTAAAAAACGCTTAAATACCAAATTTAATTTTTTTCGTCACTTTATTTGCTTCAAATTAGGAATTAAATTTTGTATTGTCCAATGCATTTTCAGCAGAAAAACAGCACAGAATGATTCGCCACATTGGTAAGCATTTTCTCGTTAGATAAACGGATGTTCTTCGAAGTCATTAAAATCTAATAAAAAGAGGATCTGGACAATCCTCTATTTTTCATTACTTTTGATGGATGAATATTCCGTTCGAAGAGTTTATCCAAACATTTTTATCAATTTCCTAGGAAAATTCCTGGACAAGCTCAAACCGAGATATGACGATGATATTATCGATCGTTGTAATTATTTAGTTACGAATAGTATATTGCTTATTTGTGCTGTAATAGTTGCTGCAAAGCAGTACGTTGGTGAACCTTTACAATGTTGGGTTCCGGCAGAATTCAAGGTTACCTAACAATTGTTTATGAATATTTTGGTAAAACAACAGCTTGATAAAAAATGATCGGTCTTTTCTCATTTACGCCTACTATTAATCGAAATGAAAATTTTATTTTTAAAAATTTTTTAATCGACTAAATCAATCAATAAAATTAAGTTTTTTAATAAAAATTTTTAAATTTTTGATCAAAAATTTTATTTAATTTTGTTGAAAACATTTAAAACTTTGCGATTTAAATTTTAAATTTAAATTTTAACTCTATTCAAGTTCTCATTTTATTTTGTTTTGTCTTGAGAGATTAAAAACTCGCGATATTTCTAACGAATAAAAAGCCTATTTACTAGTTGAAAAATTTACTGCTCAATAATTTACAAATATTGCGAGAAGAATAACATAAAGCCGCTTGAAAGAATAAGTGAAAAATGCCAGATTACTATTACTTATAGAATCATTAAATTTTTGAGATTAAATTGCAATTTCAGATGGAAGAAGTAGGAGATTCAATGAATCTTTAACATTTATTTGCTTAACCACGAATATTACGACTCTCTATTCATGCATAATTAAAGGATCTTTAAAAGGTTTAAAAAAAGAATTTCATAGAAGTATTTTATTTTCAGAGTGGCTGGGAACAATATGTTGAAAATTACTGTTTTGTTGAGAATACATATTTCGTAGCAATCAGTGATGATATTCCAGAAGTGAGTGATAAATAAAATAAAATTTAGAGAAACTATTTTCTTCCAGATGATAATTGTCGTTGCAAAAAGTGAATAATTTTTCAATGAATTCCAGATATCCAGTAAAAAGAAAGTCTCCATATAATATGTAACCATATTTTAAGAAAGTATTCTCTGTATCCTTCATTTATAACTTATAATTTATAATAATTTATAATTTTATCCAGTCATAAATTATTGCGATTAAGATTTATTGGATTTCCATAATTTTCAACCATGTTTAGGTTGTCGAGACGAGAAATGACCAAAAGATCCATTATTATCAATGGGTGCCTTTTATTTTAATGTTACAAGCTTCTTTATTCATGGTTCCTCATACAATTTGGCGAATGCTCAATTGGCAGACAGGTATCAGCTTTTTTTAAATATTAATCATGATTTCAATTTGTCATTTATTCATTAAAAACCAGCCACGCACGGCGACAAACGCCATGTGTTTGCATTAATAACAACAAATAACAAATAATAATAATTAATGATAAAAAAAAGAAAACATGACAAAAATTAACAATTTAAGGAGGAAATAAAGGGGAAATTAATATTAATATTAATAATATGAAATAAATTAATATAAAAATTACAAAATAATATAGTACAATTCGAAATAACTGTATTATATATAATTGGATGGTGAGAATCGAGATTTCACTCTTTGTACATGATGTGAACTTTTTAAATAATATCATAAATGATACTAATTTTTTTTTTGAAGATTGCTAAGGATGACGCATCTTTATATCAAGCTATAATATTTTTCGGTAATTCCAGCAATTGATAGAATAAAGAAATGCGAATAAAGAAATATGAGTCCTTAGTTTAGTTTTCCAGATAGATTTTAGTAATGTTGGCCCATTAGATTAGTTGGATTCAAATTTAACCTAAAATTATATTTTGAATAAGCTGGTTTAACTTAAACATACAAAATCTTATAAGTATAAATTAATAACTATAAATCTTGTTTAATATGACGAACTGACAGAGAATCCAGGTTATATTGTAGAAGTTTTCTTTATTAATTTAAATTGCAATTAGGAGAGAGGTGTCATATAAAATATTTTTGGAGTCCTTCAATTATTTTAATTTATTTACGATATCTCGGGTAACAGGTAGTAGTGTAGTCAAGAAAAAGGCCGTACAAATCTTTGTATATTCTGATAAGAAAATCTTCAGTTTTGTTCATAAACGAACGAAAAATAAAATAGGTATTTTTGAGGAATTCTTTACCATGAACCTGCAGTGAAGGTCGAAATCGAGATTTTCATTCACGATTATTCCAGGATCAGAAATTTGTGAGACTCTTCTGATTATATTACCATTAATAAAAAGATTAGAAAGATCGGATCCCTTAGAATTGATATGAAGAACGCTATATTTTTGAAAGGGTAAGGGAAAGATAGTGTAAAGGAAAGGGTTGCCTGTCATAAAGCCAACTGGCTATTCTGTTAAGGTCCTCCTACAGTGGAGATAGGCTATCTATTCTACCATGAAAATAGTAATCAATCAGCATAAAGATAAATAGTAGAATTTAGTACCACATTGATGCTATTATTTATATATAATAGAAAAAGCAATGACGCAGTACAACTACCTTGGGGAACGCCAGACTTAACAGGTGTCATGTCAGAAAGAATGTTGATATATATAGCTTGGTAACGATCTTTTAGTAACCTGACCCATAGTTATACAGGTCTCCTGTAATGCCATGGTCTCCTGTAATGCCATAACTATTGAGAATCAACAACTTGCTATGGGAAACAGCGTTGTCCAAATCTGGATACACAACTGATACTGTTTTTCCATTATCAATTGATGCTAACCAATCGAAAAGATTTGCCAATATTTGTGAAGAACTAAATTTTTTCGTACAAAAACCATGCTAATAGGATGATATGAAATTATTGGCATCAAGATAAGTAAGTAACTTGTTGCAAATCAATTTTTCCAGTATTTTGATACCAACGCATGTTAGGCTAATAGGCGTATAATTAGAAAAGTCACAGGTGCTTTCTTTTTTTGCGAGGAATTATATGAAACAATTTCCAAATTTTGGTGTTGAGGTCAGGCTTCCTATCTTTGCAAATTAGAAATAGGTGAAGGCTCAGAGAGACTGCATTCTTTTTATAAATTATTTGTGGAATATTATCGGGACCAGATGAAAAGCACGGCTTAAATTTTAAGGCATTTAAGGCATCATAAGTATCCAATAGCGTTATTTCAACCTCATAGAAAAAATGCAACAAATTCGATTTATATTAAAAACAAGATGAGTATTATCGTTAACAAATACATTGATTAAAAACATTAATTAAATACACTTGCAATATTGATATCAAAGGTGATCACATTATCATTATATTGTAGAATTATTTGTTTACGTGGATATGCAAATTTTCTTTTAATGTAAGTCCAGAAAAAATCTCTATTGACATTTAAATGTTGCTCCTCTTGAAAAGTAATTATGAACGGCTTTTAAAGCATTTTTATATGCAGACAGATCATTTGGCAATTTGTTAATTTATTCATTATAAAGTTTCTTGACACTTTTTTTTTAGAGATTTTAGAAAAATGGGAATTAACCTTACGTTTTTTTTTCCTTAAACGGATTTATTGCTCTATAAGATATAAAATGATGCTATTGACTTTTTCATCAATAGAGTGAGATAAACAAAAAAAGTGAAATCCCAATATGTTATGATAAAAATTATGATAAAATTTAGTAATAAGAGAAATAGAAAATAATAAAAATAAAAATAACAATAACAAAAATTAACAGTTTAAAAAGTTAAAAAAGGAAATGAAGAGGACATTGCAGAATAAAATAATATAGTGCAATTCGAAGTAACTGTATTAACTGTATAGTAAAAGTCGAGATTTCACACTTCCTATATGTTGTGAACTTTTAAGTAATACCATAAATGATATTATCTAATTTTTTTTTAACGATTGCTAAGGATGATGCATTGTTATATCGTATCAAGCTATATCTTTTAGCAATTCCAGTAATTAATAGTGCGATTAAAGAAATCATGAGTCCTTAGTTTAGTTTTACACATAGGTTTTAGTAATTTTAGCCTATATCTATATATATATATATATATATATATAAAGATAAGTTATTTTTTATTATTAATTTTACTTGGCTGTAGACTGAGAAAATTTTACTTGGCTGAGAAAAAGTTGGAACCGAAAAATTGTTCGCCGTTGCAAACCATTCGCGAAGCTACCTGAGTTCCACTACTTGAAGATTTCTGACGACATACTTCTTTAGATTGAGACTCTGGCTTCAGAATTCTTTCTTTTATAAAATTCTTTCTATAAAATTCTTTTCGCAATTGTTTTTCTAGTAATAGTTCTCTTTTCGTTAAATCTTTCAGTGAGGGACAATCGAGTGCTCATTTATTACTTAAAACGGACATGGCTATGTACTTATCTTCGAATTTTAAGTACTCGTGGCCTGCTTGACCCCTTCCTTTCATGTCGGCAAACTTCCTTAATCTAATCAAAGCTTAATTCCAGTGGCAGCTACAATAGACCTATCGGCAATAACATCATCCTTCATCTCATCATCCTTAGGTTTCTCCGGAATGTTTATACCAACTAGACATGGTTTTTTTCCTTTTTTTCGAAGTGTTCATCCTTTTTTCCAATATTAGCTGAGTTGAGATTTTTGGAGGCTCAAAGTTGTCATCCAAAGATGAAACTTTAAAATTATTAATATCATTCTTAAGTTCTTCGTTGACCTTTGTAATTTGAATACCGATTTATACTGATAATCATGTACCATCTAATCAAATTTTCATCTGATTGGAGAGTTAAAAAGCATTGGCATGAGATTGTAATTATGAGATTATGTAATATGAATACAAAATGAGGCAAATAGTAAAGAATAAGAATAAGGAAAAAATATATTTAATAAAAGTATTTTCTTAGGCATGAATGTCTTCGCTCTCTCTCAAAGAGCCTATTTTGCCTGGAAAAAGAATGCCAATTTCACCAACAAAGTTAGAATTATCAATTTTTTTCTTAAGAAACTTTATGGAATCGAATGATCGATTTAAGACATATATGAACAATTATGCACAAAACTGATTTATAATCATGTTATCGTCTATTAAAATTGCCCACTTTTTTCCTTCACATTTCTAACATCTAATATTTCTAAGTGGGTTCACTGGCTATTGGACTTGAAGTCTCTTTAAAAGGAAATTGTTTAGGGTTAGACATGGTAGAGCTACTCAGTCCACCTTTCGTGATTTCCCATATTTCAAGTTTCAAGTTTGATCCAAAATCTGATTGCATATGACTAATATCAATAAACCAATATGACAATGTTAAAGCCGATATGAATGGATTGAAGAATTGACGAATATTAATTAACATAACCGTCACGGTTATCAGTGGTTATCTCATTCCTTGAAAAAGGAGAGAAGAGAAAGAAAATCATTTTTTTAAAAATATCTCACTTGAAATATTTGCAGGATATTCGAAAATCAGCAGCATTTCCAGTGGCGAATCATATCAGGCTCGTAACCAATTTCAACCATGCGAAAATTGTTATTTCTGGGGAAAATCGTAAGTTGAATTTACTTCTTACTTCTATTTAAATAAATTATTTCATTAAAGTTATCTCTTGTCACTTATATATCTTATATCAGTATATATATCTCTTGATCAATTATTATCAAATTAAATTTATTATTAGTTCTTTTCGACTTTCCTTGACGCTTATTTAATGAAAGGAAAAGAATGAAAGAAAAGAAAGAATTATTTTTTCATTTCCACTTATCATCACTAATCATGTTTCTCGCTTTCGAATTTATATCCAACTATTAATTATGCAAGCAAATTAATTGAAAAAACGCTAAAAAAAATTGGCGAAGAGCAAAATATTATTCGTCTTTCTCACGAATTAAAAAAAGATGAAAAAAATGTTTTTTCAGAAAATCCAAAAAAATTCCAAAAATTTATTTTTACTAGATTAAACAATTAGATTAAAAAGCTACTAACTCATTAGTTGCAGCTAAGCAGGTTAGCGTATTACTTATAAAATTTTGATTTTTGGCATATATATATATGTATATAAATCTCTGGGTGGAAAAATCTGTGGGTGATAGTGATCATCCTCAACATCGGTTCATCTGGCAGAGGCCTTGGAGTCTGAAGGTTCTGCGCAGTATTTTAGCTGCTTCTAATAGTGCCTTTTTCTGGATAGAGATTTCTTCTTCTCCTGAATATCATTCCTGAACTACACATATTTAACAACATCGTTTTCAACCAGTTTTAACCTATTTTTTCGTATTCATACAATCTGGAAAGAAAATTCTATCATAAAATTGAACTTTTACGTAAGATAATTCGAAAAAATTCGTGAATTAAAGTAATTTAGCTTAATTTTAATAAATTATAGCTATACTATCGCGGATACGTTGTTGCTATGTAACAAACCTGTATATATTTTGCAAACTCCTCAACTTAATGAACATCATCGTGCAATTTTTAATCCTCAATCATTTTCTTGGTACGAAATATACTTTATGGGGAATCGGCGTTCTCAACGATCTTTTGCAAGGTCACAAATGGACTGAAAGTGGGCATTTTCCACGGGTAAACAATTAATAGCAAGTTATCGTACTATTCTCAAACCAATACAATTTTGCTTATTTCAGGTGACCTTTTGTGACGTGGTTATTAGGGAATTAGGTAATATAAATCGTAAAACTGTCCAATGTGTATTAATGATTAATATGTTCAATGAGAAAATATTCATTGCCATTTGGTTTTGGTTATTAATTATCGGTACACTTACACTAATAAATTTGATTTATTGGTCCGTAATAAGTTTTGTACCTCAGTTTTCAAGAGATTTCATTGGACATAGCCTGGTTAGTGCTTTTTCTAACAAAATCAAGCAACAAACAAAATCCTTCCTTTTAATCAATGTTATTCCTAATCCTTTTTCCAGTCTTCTATTTTGTTAATGGATTTTTTCTGGTAAAAACCGTAATAAACTGACATTACAAAAAAGGCTATTAATGTGTTTGTATTTTCTTTGTTTGATCCACGAATGCAGTTAATCGCTATGAAGCATATTTCAATCGAATACTTTTCCACTTCAATGACCAATATTTTTCCTTCTTTTAAAAAAAAAATTTATTAATGTGAGCCTAAAACTATTTGAAAATTTCGTTATTCCATAATCTTAAATATCTTCAGAACGTCAAGAATATCAAATATAGCTCAGATGATTTGATGAGATTCATACAAAAAATACTTTGCAAGGTATCTTTTTTTTGCTGAGTATGATATATTAATTGTGTAAATTCGTGTCATCGCGAATACATCTAAAGCCATAAATATCTTGCAGGATGGAATCACAGTTTTGCGCCTTATAAATGATAATGCGGGCGAAATTATAGCGTCAGAAGTAATTGCCTGCTTGTGGAAAATGCATAAAAAGGTAAATCCCAGTTTCTAACTTTTTTGTTGCTAGAAGCGGTGCTTTAATCAAAATATGGTGTTTGGAATTTCTTCGCTTGATCCATGAAGTGCATCTATAAACATATTTCTCGATCGCATGTTCTTATACTTCATCGACCAATATTTTTCTTTTCTTTAAAAAAAATTTTGAGACTACTTTCAATGATTTGATTTTTCATAAGCTAATTTTATTTATATATATCCAATGAAAATAATTTCAACTATTTTATCCTTCAGTCACTAATATATTTCATATTTATCTCTCATAAACCTAATAAACATAGCATAATAAATCTTAAACCTCTCAGAATCATCTTGGGGAGCAATGAAAAGCCATAAAAGCCATAAAGAAAAGTATCCGATTTCTTAATAAATATATTTAAATGAAACAGTGGACAAGGTGGCTAAAGGGTATAGTTGTAGAGATTTATTGAGAGGCAAGAATCCAGCTCCAGCCTAAGATAGGAATAAAATTTAAAAAATTTGGACCTTTCTAGTGACCCAGCTGAGAACAATTTTATTCCTTCCGGGAATAGAAGTAAAGCATTCCTTCTCTGAAGTGAAAAAAAAATTTTTGTTACGATTGGACCAGTTCGTAAATAATTCTATTAAATCAATAATCTATAAGACTGTAACCAACAAAAATCCTGATTCAGTCTAACTCGAGGGGCTTATAAACGCCTTGTAGCTAGGGCATCCCAACTAATAATGATGCGTTATTGGAAAAAGAATAGTCATCAAGCATAAGAGGAAATTGTTTGCTATTCCTGAAAGATAAGAATTTAAAATTACAAAGACAAGTGTTTTAATGATAAATAATTGATGATAAAATAGATATAAATAGATATATTTGTATTAATTTCTATTAATATGTTAATATTAGATTTATTAATTTATTAAATTAATATTGCTAGGATTTTAAAATTTTTACTGCTTTTTTAGGTAAATAAGCGATCTATTTCGCCTAAGAAGAAGATTGAAACGTAATCATCATTATTCAGTGGGATGAAAAGATCATTAATAATTAATAATTTAAGGATTTAGCCTATCAATTCATCACATCGAAAAGTAAACATTTTAATTAAATTCATAAAAGTAAATAATATCCTTTCAATATGTTTATACCAGCACGTTGCACCAGTATATTTGGTACTAAAATTGAAGTAATTTGATCGCAAAATCTAAGCCATTTATAATTAATAAATAATAAATAGTTTGTTCAATAAAGGACTAAATTTTATTTTTATTGCTAAAAGCAATGAATTAATGAATAAAAATTGTGCTGAGAATAATTTGAATTTAATTAATGATATTCAAAATATCTAAACTTTTGATAATATGGTCCAAAAAATGTATTTATTGCCTTTCAATAAATAAGTGCATGCCAGTCATTTCAATAATTATTTCTGCTGGTTTCACAGGCAAAATTATCGCATTTCTTTCATGCTGGAAAAATAAAATAAGAATACTCGATACGATAATCTAAGACAGACTTTACCCATCTCTAGCCACCCTGCATATTTCTGCTCCACGAACAATATTTTCATTCTATTCATGCAATTTTTATTCTCTGAAATTACTAATAATTTTTACAAATATAGCTGCAAAAATTGTAAGCAAAAATATTTAAAATAATTCAAATGCTGTTTAATTGGCAAATTTTTTTGGTTTTTGGGAATATTTTTGTAAATTTGCCCAAAATTACTTTAAATTTTAAAGTGAATTAAAAAGAATTTAAAATATTTATGTATTTATGAATGATCAAAGTAAGTGCAATTTAGTTTTTTCCTCAAATATTAGTTAAATATTAATTGCCAATTTGCCAATGAACTATTAAATTTTTCTCAACTGTTTATCCTATACTTGTCCATAAAAAAGCCAGTATCCTAGAAATATGGTTGTCTTCAACAATAATAAATTAAATATCTGATTTTGGAAGATGCAAAGTGAAAGCAAATTTTTCTAATTTATTTGGATTTCGATCATTTGATCATTTGTGCACAAATACTTTCGCGACTTTTATTAGCAGAGTAAAAGAGACTGAATTTTATGGTTAAAAATTAATTTAGCAAAAAAATTGACAAAAAACTTGTGAAATGACAAAACTGAACTTGTATGCTTATTTTTCGAACAAAGGTTGAACGATTTTTCTAGAAATCCTTAAAATTCTGAGTATCTACGAATGGTGTTTCATTTCATTCGAAATTTTTTTTGTTCAAATTCGTATGATAGAAATTTTGAGCAACTGATTTATTGAAAATGGAAAATTGTTGAAAAATGGTTCAGTACATAAATGATGAATGTGTATAAAATATTTTTATAAAATATTATTTTTCTCTATTTTTTCATTAATGAATAAATTTTTAATTCTACAAGCCATATGAAACATGACAGACAATAAGTAGTAGGTATATTTCGACTGAATTCAAATTTCATAGAGTCGATTACTATCCACTGAAGGAATCATCGCCAAAAATCTTTCTCGAAGCTTTCGCATGTTTTTATATAATGTTCTTGATACTTGACGCTAACTCTACGACGAAGAGTTCTTGCGCTAAAATGAAGCGAGCCAAACCAAAAATAATGACTATAAAAGAATGACTGTAAAAAGATATATGAAAATGATATGAAAAAAAGATATGAAAATTCTTTAGTCATTGTTGCGTAATTTGATTTTAAATTCTAAAAATCTTCCTTAATTGTTTGAAAAACTACAAAGCAAAACTACAAACTACAAGTCTGAGGAAGTTCTGAGGAAGTCTTGCGAAATGCAATTTTTAAAAGCTATCCGAATACTTTTTCGCATAGCAAACGTAATATTTTAGAGGATACGAATCATTCATTTTTAATAATTCAGCTAATCAAATATTTTGAATTCAGCGAAAAAGAAATAAAGCGAATAGTACGCTTAAGCTGATTAAATTTCATCGATTACTTATTTTTTAAATAAAGGTAAGCTTTAACATATCTGGTTTTGCCAGTATTAATATGTCTATTTGCTATCTTTCTTGTGATAAGCAATTTTTATCAGGCGATCACTTGAAACTAAAAGTGTGGCTAGGCATACGACTCAACATAATGGTAGATTGGGAATAACAGTAGAGCAATTTTCATTATACAATAAGAATATTTGATATTTCTCTTCAGCCATTAATCCACTAAAAATGTATTATTGTTATGAATATTAATAAAAATATCGTTATTTTTTATAAACAATGCGAATATCAATCTTTTGCTTTCCTTTTTGGTTTCAAATATTGGAAATTTATTTATCAAAAAATGGCACATAAAAAGCTGCTCATTGAGTAAATAAAGAAAATGTCAACATTGCTTAAAAATAATTTCTATAAAATAATTCATGAAATAAAAGGTGCTTTTTATCTGATTCAATGCATTTTTTTCACATTTACTTTTATGTTTTCTATCAATCTATTCCTAAAAAATTATAAAAATTTGTAAAAAAATTTACAGAATTATATTTGAGCCATTTTTTATGTTTAACAAAATATATCTTTGAGAAACTTATAAGAGAGTTTTGCACACTAAAATTTTCAGAATTTCAAAATTTTCTTTGGTTTTCGTCATATAAATTAGCATTTCTCAAATGGCTGTCGACAAATAAATGTTTTTTTGTTCTTTCTCGTTAATTTTTATGAATTTCTAGTGTTATATTTGTTTTCTTCCTTATCTTCTGCTTTGAAATCAATTTCATTTCTTCGTTTTTTTCTTTAAAAATATAATTTGTATTATTTGTCGAAGTTATACGTTATAAATTATTAAATATGTTATGAATTAAGCTATGCAAGGCTGATTGGTACTTACTTTAGTTTTATATTACTTACACCTGCATTATCTAGTCTATGCATATAGAAAATTCAGGGACTATAGTTTACAAACCAGAAAAACAACTTCAAACCAGAAAAACAACTAAAAAGAAATATGAATGGAAATAAGATTTTTTTAAAATTTGGTTTTATTAAGTTTTAGTTTTTCTTGTACTGAAATTTAATTATTTTTATCTTTTAAAATCTGTTTTCATATTTAATTATATTTTTTATATCTAATTTAACGAAATGCCTTGGTCAAATCTTCAAGCTACTTTGCATTTTTGTCAAATAACAATCATTTTAATTAAAAATTCGAAAACACCAAAAATAACACCAAAAATAAAAAATGATTCATTCGGAATTCAGAAAATCTTAAGAGAAAATCTCTCTCAAATAATAATAGGTTATAAATCTCCGATTGCTGCTGTGAAAGTCTTCATTAGAATATCGAATCTATTTTCGGTTTTTATAATGATAATTTTTAATTTTATGATTTTTAGTTGATATTCCTATCGATATCTTTTCATGCGCCATATTTATATGAAATTCAAATATTTATTTTAAAATCAATAACATGATATTTTTATTTATACATCACCATCATCTGAAGCGTCAGGCTTCGTCGATATCAATAAATCTATTATAACAAAGATCTTGATGATGGCGACACACCT